TAAGGCTGGCAAGGGAGGTGCTCAACAGATTTAGGCTGTTGAAGGAGTGGAGGATCAAAGAGCAAGGCTTAAACTTCTGCTTTCTTCCCGGCTTTATGTTGGCAATGCCTTTGAAATCTGTTTATTTCTCTGCCAGAAAGGGGTTTCTGCACTTGGATTTAAATTTTGGAAACGGTTCCCAGATAATTTCATCTTGGTGAATTGATGTGTGGGTAAAGATCTTAGAAACAGGGGCTGGGGAGAAATTAGCCTTAATGGGTATTTATTACCACACCGTAGTTACATCACGCAATTAAAAGGAGAGGGACTTGGGTATTGCTTCAGTATCGATTTCAGTTGTGGGATCAAGTTCACAACGAAAGATGTCTAAAAAGACTTGATAGCTGCTGAGAGGCAAACAACGGTGTCGATGTCCTCTGACTGCAGTGATTACCGTGTATCCCTCGCCTTATGCAATAGTGTTATGACAAGCTCGGTGGTAACGAGCTGAAATTAAGCCTGGGGAGAGCAGGGCTGCTGACCCGGAGGGCCGTCTGGTGCTCGGATGGGGCTGGTGGTGGCCACGTGCTTTGGTTCCTTGCTACGCAGGGGGAGCCTGCAGTGATGCAGCTGCCAAAAAACTTCTTCCTGGCCCAAAAGTGCCCCAAAATCACTTGAGAGGCTGCTTGTTACCCTGGCAATGGCCTTTCTGCTGCTGGCTGGCTTCAGGAGTGAATTTGGGTTGGTCCTTCACTTGGAGGACTTGGCAAATCTGAGTGGCTTGGTGATTTACCTGGGGAATGCAGGAGGAGATGGCCAAGGGGATTTGTGTTTGTGCTCTGGGGGAGGGTGGAGTTAAAGTCTATTTTCAGCTGGACAGTGAAGGGCTTCATCTCAGAGCATCCCATATTGGACAAAAACAAAGCTGAAAACATTGGGAAGTGCAAGGGAAAAAAGCTGCAAAAAAGCCCACGTGGCTGAGTTCACAGTGGGTGTCCAGCACTTCCAATCACTTACTGCAGGACAGGGGATTGTGAAAAGCATGAACATAAAGCATGAAGCATAAGGAGCTGATGTGGGCTTTTATATTTGCTCTGCACATCCCTGCAGCCCTGTCCCTGGCTGGGTGAGCACGCGAGGGCTCTGGAGAAGGAGCAAACACCATCTGTGCCACCTCTTTGCTCTGCTGACCCTGAATAAGGGCAATGAGCAGCCAGAAATCATCCTGGCTTTGCAGGTTTTGTTCTGGAGGGGGGGGAAAGAAGGAAGGAAAACCAAATCTTTGTTTCTCTTCAAAGTCAGAAGTGCCAATCCCTGTGTGCCCCATGGTAATGGAGCATAGAGTAGCAGGGCTGCTCGTTATTTAACCTGCTGGGGATCTGTGTGCCAGCCCCAAAGCAGGTCGCTTCCCAGCAGCTCCCTCATCTTCAGAAGTCTCTGATTCCCCATGAAAGATCTCTTCATCTCTGTGGTTTAGTGACATGAGGAGAAATTAAAAATAATAATCATTATCGGATGGAAATGTCTGGTTGGTAACATGAATGGAAATTCTCGGAGTGGTCCTAGAAGATGCTCAGCAAAAAGATGACTTTTGGCAGACGAAAGCTGTTAATTTGTCTCAATCTGATGAATGTGGGTTGGTGTTATTAAAACTGGCTGAGAGCTGACTTTAAAGGAGAGCACTCATCTCCACCAAATAACCAGCAGGAAGAAAATAATCTTTGCTTCCATATCGCAGTCTGGCCAAGAGCTGCTGTTAATTTTAAACAGCAGAACAATCTGATAAGGAAAAGCAGAAGGCTCTTAAAAGATCATTTTAGATGAGAGATGTGGCTTGAAAATGACAGCAAAATAATAAATTGCTGCTGGCTGGGCTGGAACTTGCCCACCTCAGGCCAGCCGAAGCTTCACCCCAGTCTGGGCAGCGAAGCACTTCCCCCTGCACAGCCTCGTCCTGGAAAAGTCTTTTCTGACCTAATCCTCATCTTTTCTAAGGAGCTAGAGGAGGGATTGCTTACTCCAGAGCTTGTATTGCCCCATGCCAGGATTTTTTTGGCTCTGAGTGGGTACAGGAGGCCAGACAGGTGGATTTTAAGATGATTTCAGAAGCTCCATCCTGCCCTGCTCATTCCTTGTCTGCTGTCTGACGATGCTGCTTGAAGCACCAACACTTGAGGCACCTGCAATGGCATCCCAGTGCCCATTCTACCCTTCACGGGTGATGATCAAGGACCTGAATTTGTGGTTTTCAACCCCATTTTTAAATACTGGGGTAATCTTTTAGAAACATCTGTGGGTTGCAGGAGCTGGTGGTGCTCAGCATCTCCCCAGAGGGACCACACAAAGCCACTTTGGGGCACGTCCACCTTGGCCACCTGTCTACGAAGCAGCAGTCACAGCGTGGTCCTTCCTCCCGTGGCAGGCTGCAGGCTCTCTCAGCTCGAAATCCTAGACAGCCTGTCAATTACAGAGGAGCAGCATATTCTTAGCATCATTACGCGGCGCTGCCAGCTCATGCTCTGGATTGATTTCCTCCGTTTAAGCACACCGTGAGCTACTCCTTTTCCCCGTATTGGTGGGTGGGAGTTCTCAGGAAGAGCAGCTGCAGGAGGATCAGGCTGCCAGCAGCTTCCCGTCCCCGTTTTCTTGTAGATGCTGGCAAACCTTGGCCTTGGTGATATGCTGAATTTGTGCGTGGGCTTGTGCTCGATAGGTGTGTGTAACAAATGTTTACAGCAAATTATATTCCACAGAGATGCTAATCAGCCTCAGCCATCACCTGTTTATTTTGTTTTATTATTTTTTTGTCACTCACTGTGTTAGGTGCTGCTTTTTACAAAAAGATGCTTAAAGAAACTTGGTTTTCAGCCTCCTTCCTTCTTCCTGCATGCTGCCCATTGTGCTTCGTTAGCTTGTCTGTTGTTTTGGTTGGTGATATTAAGCAGAAATGGTTCTCGTTCTGCTCTGACAAACTGCAGTCATATTGTCTTAAATTCCCCTTTTTTAACTTTATTCTGCCCCATCTTGAGAACAAATTACTGACAGCCGGATGATGATGATGTGTTACAATGCTGGTGTGATCCATACCTCTGGGAGGCTTCAGGGGGTAGGGAGAGGCTGTTTCATGCTGAGATAAGGGAGAATTGTCATTAAAAGGCACAGAGCTGGGGAGCTAACACTGCACTTGTGATCACTGGTTTCCCACACACTAAAATATCGCCCTCCCTATTTGATAGTACCTCTCTGCGGGTAAGTCACAGCCTGAACACGCTGCTTTCAGACAGTGCTGCTGTGGGCCTGCCCATGCCTACTGATGGTTTGTTTTTCTCTATTGCTGCGCTGTTATCAGCAGCTTGTCTTTTGTTGCTGTTATTTAGATTGGCACATCTCCCAGCATGTAAATTATTGCCACTGGTAGGAAGGCTTAGTGTTGCTGTATAAGCCAAAAATAAAAATAAAAAAAAAATCCCTAGTGGAAATGTTGTTTATATCAGCAAGGGTTTATTTGAGTGAGAGCTAAACAGTCTTCTTTTCCTACAATAACCCATAACAGCTTCACGTAATGTCCTTTCTAGTTAAACCACGTGTAGCATCACCTGAGTGCAACACTACCTGCACACAACATGACTCTGCCATTTACTCTCAGTTTAAGCTACTTAATTTTTTCCAAAAGTCTTAAAATATGAGTTCCTGTTACTCTTATGATGATTTTAAGTATAGACCAAGCCCAAGTCTGATTTCCTGTAGCTCGGTGTGTCCAAAGGGTGGACCACATGAAAGCTCCCAGAGTGTTCATCCAAATACCTGTAGCACAGTGCCTTCAGTGGCTGTCTTCTCTCCCCTTGAGCAACACAGGATTATGCTACTCAAGTGTAGTATTTCTATGTAATAAAAGTATAGGTAGTTTAAAACTAGATACTTGGTGTACTTGGAGCATTTTTAAACCCTTTTTGCTCTTAAGCTGATAGATGGGTTCTTTTAGTCCTGCTGTTTACGCACCAATTGAGTTAGACCGAGTCAGACAGCCTTCAGAGCAAGCTGCCAATTGCTGGGTCTGGATCTATCCCTTGACTGGGATGCAGTCTCCAATTAAATGCCAATCTATAAGCGGTTACGGTTTTGGCAGGTCTAATTCTCTCCTGAAAAGAATATGCTGCAACGCTTCAGGACCTAATTTACTGTCTTGTGCTGACATTACCAATCAAGAGCTACAAACGGAAAACTGGTGTTTCTTCCTGACCTGTGTCCAGCATCACAAAACAGCAAAAACACCACGGAGTCCTGCACTCATTCGGCTTCCTTAGCCGTGCCAAAGCCGGTAGGTGGAGCTGGTATTACACCGCTGGAAGCCAACAAACCCTTTGACAACACAGTTGGTGCTGCTCAGGGAGGGGATTGACAGAGGAACACGCCTCACAGACAAAGATCTCTTCAGTTATCACTGAAACAACCAGCACTAGTTCTCGTCTCCTCCTCCATCACAAGGCATTTGTTTGACTTTCTGGCGTCCATTCCGCTTGATACTGATTTATTCTGAGTTCGTTTTGTTTGTTTTACTTAAGTCCCTGGATCTGATTTAAAGTTTTCAGGACTTGTTCTCAGTTTGGGGCAACAGGCTTTGTTCCAGGCCATCCTGGAAGAGCAAGCTTTACAAATGCAAAGGGTTGGAAATAGCTGGTCTTTCCTGCTACATTCAAGCAGATTCTGCTCTGCAAAATGCCACTCAGAGTAGCTGGTATTTTGGATAAATTGAGGCAGATGGCCTTCCCATTCCTCATTCTTCTGTATGTGAAGAACAGATAAATGTAACTAAGCAGCAAAGGACCTGTGCATGTCTCGCAGGAGTATCAATGCAAATCTGAAGTGCTCAGCTAATTCTAGGTTTGGACAATTTTTCCCCAAGCCCTTTCTGTGAGCTTCTGAGCTACTTTTATTTAAAATGTTGAGTACTGCTTTCTCTAAATGAAGAGCTAGATTATGGGGACCTGAGACTTTAAATGTTTCAGTACAGTTATTTTGAATACATTTCTTGCTCAGATAGCTTTAATGGGAATAGACAAGATGATATAAAGCATCTTCACAGCCACTGTTAATCACAAGAAGGAAGGGTATTGACTGTAAAATAGCCTGGGAACAGAAAAAGAAACTGCATTTTTCTCTTTGTACATACCATTTCTGATAAATACTCAAAAGCATCTTCATTACAGCTTGACAGCACAGGTGAGAGTATTTACAGCACATTATCTGACTGTACAGCATAGCAGACTTATTTTTAGAGATAAATTAATAGGGACATTTAAAAGATGACAAAGAGACCCTTTTCAACACTGCCAGATCTTTGTAGGTCCTATATCACTGACATTCATGTGATTCACCATATTTCTCAAACCTCAGTGTTTGTTCTAATGGAGACCTCTGAGTGTGACTTCTTTAGTAAATGGCAAGGCTGGGGTGGGTGGTTACATGGGTAAGGCTGATTGTGTGGGCAAACACCAAGTCACGACACTGAAGAAGCAGCAACAGAATAACAGCTGTCAGGGGATGAAACAATAGCACCATTTATAATTGTACAGTGACAGGAAACAATGAAGGTGGTACCAAGGAGCTCCTTTTAAAAATGTATTTTCATAGATACATAATGAACAGGCTAGCGTGCATAAGCTGCTAGAACTACCCCTGCAATTTCTGTCTAAAGAGCTTTATCTGACAGAAGATGTACACTGCTTCCCTCTATCGACCTTTAGTGTCAATGCTAAGACAGAAAGCACAGCTCACAGAAGCATTAGTCTTATACAAGTACACAATTGCTGATTCTTTGATTAATAATGGGAAACAACCCTCTGTAGAGGAAACAGGATTGAATAATATAATATATATATATATATATGCACATACTAGAATATAAAGTCAAATAATTCTGTGCTAGTTTGTGATGAAAACAAGCTATTTGTAGCCTCCTTGGTTATCACACTTGTTTTCCTGATGTAGGAACTCATCTGACCCTCCCCTGGAGGGGCGGAAGTTGATGAGAGAAACAGATACAACATGACCGATAATAAAAATACTCCCTCTCCAGCTCGTTCTCTATCAGAGTTTGGATGGCCAATATAGTGGGAAGGAACATTACAAAGACAGGAATGTTAAGTAGTCTCCTGTTGCTACAATCTCAATATTATCATCAATTTAACGACTGCAGTGACAGTTTCCTTTAGGACTCAAAGTTCAGGTAGGTGAACAGTATCTGTCCTCCTCCAGGCACAGCTCAGGGCCAGCTCAATCATAAACAGTGAAGTTCAATAGAAAACACAGTGAACTTTGCAAGAAAAGAATACCCAATTTAGTGATCAAAGAGGTACAAGACAGGAAAAAAAAATTGATTCAGTGGTTTATCTGTTCTATTCTAGACCATTATGTTTTCTGATGCTTCTGAACAACTGCTCTTTCTTTTGTTCAGCGTGCCTCCTGACGAGCTACAGACAATTCACATTCATGCTGGAATGATTAGGTTGCTACAGGTTGGGACTAGATTGAAGTAGGATTTCAGTTCAATGTATGCTGTTTCACTCTTACAACGAATGCCAGTCAATATCTCTGGAGGTCCAGAGCAGTTTTGTTGTTGTCTTTGCTTTCTTTCATTTTTTTAAATGACTGACAATACGTGCTTATGCCTCCCTCCCCCACTCGGGTTATTTATTACTGTTCCTGCACACAGCTTCGTTGGGGTTTGGATGAGAGGCATGGCTTGTATCTCACTGCTCAGCAGCTGGAGGTTCTTCGGTCTCCTGCTTCTCTGCCTGTGATTCTGGAGGGATGAGGTACTGTACTTCTTCAGTATTGATTGCCACTTTATCAGGCTGTAGCCAGCGCTTTAGATGCTCTAATGTGCTGAGGGAAAGCAAAGACAGAGTGAAACATGAGAGAGCAATTTCACAGGAAGATACAAAAAGATCTGTTAGCCCTGCTAACACCAGAAAGGCAGGGAGAGGTTGCAAAAAGTACGTCTACATCCTAGAACTCTAATGCTATGGATACTGTAGATGCACGTAAATACACACTTACTCTCTCACAGACTATCTCAAAATAGCTGGTCTGACCAGAAAAGTTCTACCCCATCTTGTTTAAATACTGACTCAAGTTTATTTTAATTCTAAAATGTGCATCTGTATGCTCATCCTCCAGCAAGTGTGATACATGCCATTCAGTCCTTGCACTGGAAAATTAACTCGTCCTTGCTCTTTTACAAGAGCAGAGTTTTACTTGGTAGTGTCCGTGAGATGATTTGTGTCCTTAAAAGTTAAGGCTGGTTTAATTACATTACTTGATTCTCATCCAGCAATCTGGTACCATTCAGGGGTAACCTCTAACTTCATTCAGTCAAATTCTGGTGAGGAAAGTATTTTCATGGATAACATCCTCAGCCTTTAAAAACAAAGTGGGAAGAACATCTATGCCTAGACCAACTTGCTTTTTAAATGTCACATTCAAGCTAACTGGTCAAAGAATCTAAAACCTACACATAAACATGGATTATTTGTCATACTTGAACTCCAAAACTAGCTGAAGTAGATTTTCTTCAAGGGAGAAAGATAATCTTCTTTTCAGTTAGAAGCAATCATGAAAAATGTCAGCTCAGAAAAGAGAAATATGGAGAGCATTATAAGTGATTGGGAGTGTGAGCTTACTAAAGAAAAAGACTCTCATCTTAATTCATACATCATCTGTAAAAGGGCAACGGGTGAGAGAGCAGAAGCATTGTAAGGCAGGCACTAAACTGAGAGCCACTCGGGAAATCTAATCTCAGGACTGGTACCAACCCTGGAAAGAACTTCAAATTCCACTTGTCTCTGAAGCAGTACTTAACAGGGCCCTGACAAAGATGCAGGGAATGGTCTGGACTTCGCTGTTAAAAGTCAAGCCTTAAAAAAGCAATTTGAGATGTATTAGACATTCCCTCCCTACCCAAAATGTGACAAGGGTAGTTGTCAAATAGAATCCTGTTCTTTCCACTCTAGATCACCCCAGTCCAAGGGATGCAAAAATCAGCAAACAGCTTTGAAAGTTCAACCCACCCATGCCCTGTCTGTTTTCCTCTAGCATGATACAAGTCTGTTTGGTGGGGAGGGTTGGATTTGGTAAATTGGTAATTTGCTTATTACCTCTCATCAGATTCAGTGTCCCTCTACGTAAAATTCAGACTCAAACTTCTCCTGCAGGAACCTGTCCCAGCATTCTTTCTTAGCTTGGGAAAGAGTACGCAGCATGTCCTTGGAGGTCACCTCTTGAGACAAACCTTTTATTCTCATCAGTCTTCTCTCTGAAGAGGCAAAAGGGGAGGGGGTCTTTATTACAATTTTCTCAGGGGAAAGAAAAAAGTGTCTACACTTTGATATTAAAAAGGTTAAATTAACATTTCAAGACTTAATATTTTAAAAAGTAACTTTTTCTTTTATTTGAAGTCTGCATGACAGCATTTCATTTATGTGTGCGTTTGTAATTTGGAGTGACATTTCAGAAGGAAATAAGGTGTGTATGCAATCAGTCAACTCTGCCCGTTTTTGTGTTTTAATAACTTTTGCGCTTACTGTTCAATTTCAATGAAACCTTCACACAGAAGGTACAGATCTTGGAGGCAGTAAGTCCCCACGCTTTCCATGCAAATTGGGATGGAATATAAATCACACTAATTGCAGTGCAGAAATGCAAATAATGCTCAAACTGAGACCAGGGATGGTGGAATGCAGAGAGTGCAGCAGTATTATCAGTTGGATATCTCAGAACAGAATGTAATGTTTTAAGTTTTTCAGTCACAGGCTAGTGAAAACCATGTTTTTACCAGACGCAGGGTAAGTCCAACTACAGTACACAAAGCTGCAAGGAAGCAAATTTCATGGAGTTCCTTCAGTCACAAAATCCCTTTATAATAGATTCCTTCTTAAATTGGGTCAGGAATCAACTTATGCTCACGCATTTATTTTTTAATTGAAAAGTCTATGATTGTCAGTTGAACTGCACTAGTTCAAGACACGGTGGCCCACTTGTTACTCTTTTTCGAGTTTGTCTTGTGTCACAGAATTTGCTTGTCACTGTAAGTGTCTGGCCTGAGCAATTATTAAGACTTGAAATACCATAACTGGCCAAATGTACCGATAGGCTGATCCTATGATGACTCAATTATTAATCCTGGCCACGTACAAACCCAGTACAAGTTTATACTTCTGTTGACTTAGCTAGAATGCACAAGACAAACTTTGTGCTAGCTTTATGCTAGTATGAAGCCTGCTTGTGAAAAGTAATCCATTAGCATTTTCTGAACAAATTGGAACTATTGCAGCAATTAATAACGGAAGAGCAATTTATGGCTTGTTGCCATGGCACCTTTGATCAGATACCAAGAGCTCTACTTAGTGTACTGTGAAACAACAGTCTGAAACAGTAACAAAGTCAAAATGGAGGCTCTGGCAGAAATAAAAGCTTTAAAAAAACAAAAACAAAAAAAAACACTTCTGCAACCCTGTCCCTATTCCTCTTGGTCTGTTCCTGCATGCAACCTCCTTTGCAAGCCAACATGACCATGCGGCTGCACTGCAAACCAGATTACAAACTGACCCAAATAAAAATAACTCCATAGAAAGGAATGTTTTATAGATTATGAAGGAAATAACTAATCATGCTGAGGTTAACTGCATGATCTGTCACTTTAAAATACAGATTCTAGCAGGCTTTATTTGGGAAAGCATCAAAGCTTTCTTTCCTATATCTGCCTCCCTACCTCCCCAGCCAGAAAAGAGGTCACAGAAATCTCACTTTTTTTCTTTGCACTCAGTTGCATCTCCTGAGACTCCGTGAAATAATGAAACAAATGATGGTGGCACAGAAACACAGAGGCGCTATAGCGAGTTCAAACCACATTTCCCCTCCCTCAGTCAACTACAGTAGGACTATGTGCTGCCCAGAGAAAGAAACAGCAGTATCCCTATTCTATTTATTTTGCAGGAAGAGCAAAAATTCTTTGGTTTATACTTGATAGAGAGTTTCTTCCCATGGAATAGCTGAAGAAGCTACAGTTGTGCTTATCATTGCCACTTGCATTAACTGAGTCAGACGAACTACTGAGTTTGTGCAAGACATTCTTCCAACCAGAGGTGTAAGCACTGTCATCCTGGCCTCATAAACAGTGCCATAGTTATCAGCAGGCATCTAAGCACATGTAGGAACCAACACCTGACCAGACACTCACCGAGGGATGCCAAATACACCTCTGAATCATTCAGGGGAGCCCAGGGCTTGAGGTTTGTTTGGGAAGAGCCTCCGGACACATTGCTCTGACTTCCCCCATCGGCGTACGCATCCGTGAAGGAGTCTGTGAACGCCTCGCTGTCGTCCTGAAGCTCTGGCCGGGGCAGACAGGAGCAGATTTCAGCCCAGAGGTCTTCGCTGGACCTGGCGACGGTGGCATCAGCGCTCTCGATCATCCTCATGGCGAAGAGCTGAGGGAAGGGGGAGAAAGGGCGCGCGGTGAGCGTGACACGGGACCTCCACACCCGCTGCCCTCTGCTCGAGACACCTCAGTGGGGCCTTTAGGGCACCTTTAGGTGTTCTTATGGCACCTTGAGGGCACATTTAAGGGATTTTTTGCATCACGGGGGTGACCCACTCCGGGGCTATCGGTTACAGCCGCGCCCTGAGGGACCCCTCACAGCAGCAGGCCGCGGGGCCCCGGCTGCCCACCGGCCCGGTCCCTCCAGGCCCCGCGCCCCTCCAGCCCCTGTCACAGCCGCCCCCCCGGCTCGGCAGCCCTCCCCCTCCCCGGGCACAGCGGGGCCGCGCCTGTCCCTCGCCCCCAAACCTGGCTCGACCACCGCCGCTCGGACCGTCAACACGGCAAAGCCGCGACGGCTTCAGACCGAGCGAAGATTGACGTGCAGGGATGACCAATCACCGCGCCGCTTTGGGTGGGGAGAGGGCGCCCATTAGTCCAGCCCTCAGAAGGAGGCGGGAAGATGGGCGGGAGGTGGGAGGGAGAGTGACGCCGCTGCGCTGCCATCTTGGGAAAGGGCGGAAGGTTTGCTGAGCGGCGTAGGCGAGCGGGGCGCGACACCTGGCAACGGGGCGGCCGCGGGGACGGGACCGGGACAGGTATGGGGACGGGGACCGGTATAGGTATAGGGACAGGGACAGGGATCGAGGCCGGGTATGGGGCTGGGACCGTTAACCCGTGTCCCCATGAGCCGCGGACGACGCCTTGTCGTTGTGTTTTGGAGGGCTGCGCGGGGTAATTTGCAATTTTAAGCGCAAAAAGCCTTAATTATTGTTAATTACGTCACGGTTCTTCCCTGTAAGCACAAAAAGCCGGTAATTATGGCACGGCGGTTACCGATAACCAAGGTGTCCATGCACCAGTGCTGGTGGCGCCCCATGTAGTGCGCTCCGCCGCCTTCAAGCAGCGCCCAGTATCGATTATTTCGTTTTTAACCCAAAAAAGGCTCGGGGTTGGGCGTGCCCATCGGCGATCCCGTCCCCTTTCCCCTGGCAGGTGTCCGTGGGATGAGCCCCCTGCTGCCCTGCGCCACTCTGACACTCATGGGACTGCTCCTCGCCAGGACGATGGCCTGGACTTCCAGCGGAAAGACGCACCCCGAGCTGGTCAACAACCTCTACAGTGAGTAACGAGGCCGTGTCCAGGTCCCCAGCTGCTTCGAGCTGCCCCTCGGAGCCTCCGGTGCTTCAGGGTTAAGGTTTTTGGTGTCCTGCAGCGACCCGATGCAACGCCGGTCGTCCCGAAGTGGTAGAGTAGACGGCCGAAATTTCCCAGCGTCGCAATCTGAACTTGTCCTAGTTATAATTGGAAACGAGAGGTTGTGCCAGAATTAGCCCAAAAGGCTATCTATCCCCACAGTCTGCCTGCCATTCCTCTCACGGGGTAAACGCGTGACACCTTCTAAAACACTGCACGGAGCAGCATTGCTTGGAGCCAGCAGATGCTCAGCTTTTTGGCAGGGTTTCACCTCCAAGGATGTGCCCTGGGGTTGGAGTCACGCGTGGTGGTGCTGCCATGCACCGAGCAGCATCTGGAACACAAGTAAAAATAGCTTTGAATTTCCTCAGCTGCTAAAGCCGTGCTGATTTTCCCTGCGGTGCAAAGGAATGGTGAATGTTTCTATAGTCATTAAATCTGAACCAGAGTCTCCGCCTTCAGGAGTGAAAGTGTGACTTGTTTACTATATTTAACGCTCCCAGGCATGCTGTAGTTATAACTAACAGTCCTCGGAGAGAGGCTGGGCTGGTGGTGTGACTGTATTGTGATTTCATCCAGTGCAGCAAAACCTGAAAAAGATGTACGAAAATTTCATCTGCAGGGTTTTCTCTGTATGTTTCTCTCTCTTTTTTTTTTTTTTTTATCAACTCTCAGATAGCTTAGTAAGGGTTCTCCCAGTTCTGCTGTTAACTCCCAGAACTGTATTGCCTCCTTCCAAATACCTTCTTGCTTCCACACTGAGGATTTAAGTCCTTTCTCTGTCTGTTTTCCTCCATCTCCTAGAAAAAGGAATAATTAAATCCCAGCGGGTCTTCGATGTGTTACTGGCTACTGACAGAGGCCACTACATCAAATATTTCCCATACATGGATTCTCCTCAATCTATTGGTGAGTAACTCAAAGTATCACCGTTTTTATGGTGTTTATGTTGAGTATGCTAACCACAGTGACAGAGGGGCATGAGGTGGCTCAGCTGGTCAGAGTTCTTAATGCTGGAAGCGCTCTCACCAAATCAGTGGCTGAGTTTTTAGACAGGCCAGGTAGAGCAATCCTCATCCATATTTCAGCTTGTGGGATCCAGAGGAAATAGAACAATAGAACAATATATATTTTCCACAGTCAGAATGTGCATTGATCATTCTGAGTTCAGCTTGTGGAAGGGAAACAAACACAGTCTGTGATAGCTGCAGAGCATTTTTGATGAATGAGCTGGGGGGTGGAGATTGGAGCAGTTGGGAACTGAAGCATTAAATCTACCTTGGTCTTATTATTAATCCTTCAGGAGTTGACTATAAGTCAGTAAAATGCTTTAGTGAGGCAAAAGAGAGATTAAAGAACTGTTTACGGTTTGATAATTAATTGGATCTTATCACCGTCATTTCTTTATCATGTAACTGTTGTCACTGGCTTCCTTTTAGGATACAAGGCTACAATCAGTGCACCACATATGGTGAGATATTCTTAATTATTTTTAACAGACATGCAAGAAATTGTTTGTCTCCCCCATCCCTTGCCTTTTTAAATTTTACTTAAATACTAAAGTAGGAAGGTGAAACAGGTCCTGCAGACACCATTATCGTGCTTGCTTCTTTAGATGCCGAAACTTTTATTTTTCTGAGTTCATTTAAAAGCGTGCTCAGGTAGAAATTCTGTTTAACTGGAGAGAACCATTAATATTGTCATAATAATAATCATTTTTGCACGATATTTTTCTTCCTGCTCCTTTGCATATTGACTGAACCTCTTTGTAACTGCTGTTCTGCAAAGAGACGTTTCAGATCTGACATGACTCGCTCTGAACATGTCAGACAAAACGCCCAGTGTGCTGTGTTCAAATCAGAGCACAAAGTGCTTGGAACAAGAAAAAGTTGCAGGAGGAGGAAAGTAAAATGGGATGTTTCACACTCTCTTGTATTTGTACCCGCACAGCATGCCCATGCACTGGAGTTGTTGAAGGATCAGCTTGTGGAAGGTGCAAAAGCACTGGATGTCGGATCTGGGAGCGGGTACCTTACAGCTTGCTTTGCCAGGATGGTAAGCTCACGGGATAGCTAACCTAACTGGAACTGCTCAGCCTTAAAAGCAAAGTGGCACAGTGTCTGCACCTCCTTGTCCAGACACTTTGCTCTTAAGTTTCTTCCTAGAAATTCTCCAGCCCCCACACTACCTTGTTCTATAAAATGCACCTCTGTACCTACAGGATGTACAAAGTCTTTCCGCATCTCTGTGCATGTGGGAGGTATATGGGTGTTTGTCTGCTCTTTCCTTTGTAGATGGGCCCAACAGGGAAAGCCGTGGGTGTAGAACACATTAGAGAGCTGGTGAACGAATCCATCAGAAACGTCCAAGAAGACGATCCGACTTTGCTCAGCTCTGGCCGTGTAAAACTTGTGGGTGAGCTCTCTGGGACCCTGATGCTTGACCCCTCCTGTGAGCACTCATTAGCTCTGGCTGTCTGCAGAGCTCTGCTTCTCAAAACAGTGGCTCCAAGCTGTGCTGATACTTTCCATGCTGTTGCTAGAAATTGCTGGCTAACTAAGCGCAGTTTAACACTGACTTGAACACTACTGTGTGCGTAAGCAGCTTTTAATGCTGCAGGCAGTCGAGCACACACCTCACATCTGAATGTGCAGTCCCGACACATTCAGTAAGAGGTGTTCTTCAGAGGAGAGGGATTGTACCACATCTGAGTTTTAGTTTATTTGAGTGAGTTTACACATGCTTTTTTATTTTGCGTTTTTTCCTTTTTTTTTTTTTTTTTTTTGTTAACTTGTATCAGCTTATTCTGTATGCAGAATCTCAAGACTGCACAAAGCTACTGTATTACATAAAGGCCCTCCTGGCTTTGGTTGTTCCATTTTCCAGCATGGTTCAATTCCAGAAATATCTCCCCATCCTTAAAATGTAAACGAATGCTACATTTCTAGCAGACAGGTCAGTGCTCTGATGTGGGGATTCACGTTGCTATCACAGTCTTGCTACAAAGTTTTCCTCCTCGAAATTTCAATTGAAAGAATATATGGAGAATTATTTTTGCATGGAACTGTTGTCTGAACAAGTCTTTTCTGCTTGCTTTTCCCTCCTGCAGTTGGAGATGGCAGGCAGGGATACCCCGAGGAGGCTCCTTATGATGCCATTCACGTTGGGGCAGCAGCACCAACAGTACCAAAAGAGGTAAGAGTGGTCGTGCGGGGTGTCAGTTGCTGTTGGCTGCCTTCATCAGTAGCTGTGATAAAACTATAATAATTAGGGAACTAGTAATTAGGGAACCACGGGAACCTCCCCTTTTTTTTCTGTTTGTATGGAGCTGGCAAGCTTGTATTTTTCAAGATGTCATGACCTTCACAGCTTGGCTGACTTCTCTTGTCTCTTGGCTCTGCTGATTCTGATCTCTCTGATTGCCAGCTGCTGAATGAACTGAAGCCAGGAGGTCGGCTCATACTGCCCGTGGGTCCTGAGGGTGCGAACCAAGTCCTGATGCAATACGACAAAACTAGTGACGGGGAGATCATCGAAACCCAGCTGATGGGCGTGATCTACGTTCCTCTGACGGATAAGGAAAAGCAGTGGCCTCGGTAAACACTCGCAGCGTTTCTCCTCTCCACCCTGTGGGCTTGCTCTCCTTGAGTGCTGGCTTTGCTGACAGATCCCTGGATTCCTAGCAGCTGCTGTTCGTAAAGGACAGAAGGAAGAGGCTAACTAATAGGCACATCAGGGCAGTAGGATGCATTTTCTATTAGCTAAGGATCGCAGACTGAGGACTCGAGCCTTTTTTGTGTCATTTTTTTGGAGCCTCTGCGCATTCATAAACACTGCAGCTGTGGCGATTTGCTGAGCTGAAGGCAAACGCATGACAGTAACCGCTGGTTTTTCTTTGCCTCAGGGACGAATTCTGAGAGCGGGATGGAAATCTCTAAGCTCACCTCAGAAAGCTCACGGACAGACGGGACTCGGCCGGCCTGCATGGCTTTGCTTTTGGAGCGGGAGCTCCGGCAGCGGCTGTGCTGGCCAAGGCGAGCACTGCTTCAGCAGAGCGAGGGACGGAGAAAAGACTGAGCCGGGTCTGGCCGCGGTGCCTTGATCCGGACGAGCCCAGCCCCGGGTGACCCCTGCAGAGAGCCGCAGGGGCAGGAGGGCTCGCAGCTCCCCGCAGCCACCCCCTAACAGAGCCCCTCTAACGCTTGGAGACAAAACAAGGCGCCCTTCCCGGCGCAGAGCCCCGAGCTCATGTACGCGAGCGCGGCCTCTTCTTTCCTGCGTCAGCAACCCCGAGGTTTTGGGGTAAAAACGCCGGGAATTGGGGAGGGCGAGAAAACCTGGGGGGCGAGGCCTGGAGGTAGGGGGCGTGGCCTAGGGGAGGGGGCGTGGCCTGATTGGAGGGGGCGTGGTTAAGGGTGATGGAGTGAATGGGGGTGGGCGTGGCTAAGGTAAAGGGGTGTGGTTAAGGGCTGAGGGGGCGTGGCCCTCGCCGGCGGCCGCCCTCAGCGATTGGCTGCGCGTCGCGGCGTCACTCGGCGCGCCGGCGCGCTGTGTGCGGCGTGGCTGCGGGTGGCGGCGCGGAGCTGGGGCCGGGGCTGGGGCAGCGGCCGCTTCTCATCCCCCGGCGGGGCATGGCGGAGCCGGGGCCGGAGAGCGGCGCTTTGGGGGAGGAGGAGGCGGCAGCCCCGGCCCCGAAGAAACGCCGCCTGGCCGCCGGGGAGCGCTACGTGCCGCCGCCGCGGAAGCTGAAGGCGGGGGTGAGCTTCAGCGCGGAGCACTTCGCCGAGACCTCGTACTACTTCGAGGGGGGGCTGCGCAAGGTGCGGCCCTACTACTACGACTTCCGCACCTACTGCAAGGGGCGCTGGGTCGGCCGCAGCCTCCTGCACGTCTTCAGCACCGAGTTCCGAGCCCAGCCCCTCGCCTTTTACCGCGCCGCCGCCCGTGCTGGCCGCCTGCGCCTCAACGAGGAGCCCGTGCGGGACCTGGACGTCGTGCTCAAGGTGGGCGCCTCTCCCTCCTCCTTTCCTTCATCCCTTAATCCGTTTTTCCCTCCCTTCATTCTTCCCAAGCTCCCCAGGTGCCTGGCGTGGTGGTGTGCCTATGCAGAATGCACCCTAATTGCTTGCTTTTCTGGCAGAATAATGATTTTCTCCGAAACACGGTGCATCGCCACGAGCCGCCAGTCACCGCCCAGCCGATCCAAATCCTGGCAGAGGACGATGAGGTGGTGGTCGTGGACAAACCGTCCTCCTTGCCGGTGCATCCCTGTGGCAGGTTTCGGCACAACACCGTCATCTTCATCCTCGGCAAAGAGCACAACCTTAAGGAGCTGCATACAATTCATCGACTCGATCGCATGACCTCAGGAGTGCTTATGTTTGCCAAGACGGTGGAGGTGTCCAAGAGGATTGACGAGCAGGTTCGGGAGAGGCAGGTGAGAGCTAAGGGCTGCAGTACTTTTGGGAGATTCTTGTGTGGTATTTTCTTGAAACACACTAAGGCGAGAAGTCCATCAAACTTCTGGTCTAAACAAACCCAATTCCAAGGACAGTTTGTGGTCTTCTTCCTGTCGTAATTGTGCAAAGGGTGGAGGGCATTGAGAGAGAAAGATGGAGCAAAACCGTAAGCAATTCTGGTAGTATCATATTGAAAAGGGTTTCCAGCCCTGTGGGATTGTGCAAACTGGCTGGTATTGTGCGTGTAGTCATAGAAAGGTTTGGGTTGGAAGGGCCTCTAAAGATCATCTGGTCCATCAGTTAGAGAGCAGTTTTATTTATCAGTAGAAGCATGTCAGTCATCTAATACTTTTTCCATTTTAAGCTTTAGAAGTTTTGTTTTTTTCCACTGGTTTTCAGTCCAAACAGAACAATAGCTGTAGAGTGCTAGCTTTTAGGATTTGCTCCAAGGCAGTGAGTGTCACAGCAAAATGCACTGAGAGGCAACTCTTGAACTTAATATGGGGAAGACAGTTCAGGCCCTTATGTTCTTGAATTCCCAACTAGTTGGAAGCTAGAATGAGAGAAATTTGATATAAAAGCTTCTTTTTTTTCTCTTCCTGTTCAATTGTAATAAAACTTTGAGTAGATTACCTAAAATGAAAGATATGTATTTCATTGATGAGAGAGAGAGGGGAGTAACTAGGGTGAGACTGAATCATAATCAGGCCCGAGACAGTTTTCTCTTCTGAGAGTTGTTCTTTCTCCCCATAGCTGGAAAAAGAGTACGTGTGTCGTGTGGTGGGGGAGTTCCCAGAACACGAAGTGGTCTGCGAGGAGCCCATACTGGTTGTTTCATACAAGGTGGGGGTGTGCCGTGTGGACCCCAAAGGGAAACCCTGCAAAACCATCTTCCAGAAGCTCAGTTACAACGGCAAGACCAGCGTTGTCAAGTGCCTTCCGCGTACTGGCCGCACACACCAGATCCGGGTCCACTTGCAGTACCTGGGATATCCCATTGTCAACGACCCCATCTATAACATGGAAGCCTGGGGCCCTGAAAAGGGCAAAGGTGGCAAGATTGGTAAAACAGATGAAGAACTCCTTAAGGCGCTCGTGGAGGAGCATCGTTCCAAACAGAGCCTGGATGTCTTGGGGATTTCAGAAGAGGACCTGAACACCAATGCAGAAAATCAAGACTATAGTAATTCAAGCGAGTGCACAGAATCTGTGCAGGCTGATCCTACAAATGAGAACTCCTGCCCTGCTGAGGGCACTAAGGATCCTGAGAGAAATGAAACACCGGCTTGTACACTGGACCCTGATACCAATCTGGAAACACTTGAAAAAACTACAGAACTAGGTTCATGTGAGAACAAGAGTGGGCAAACAGGAGAAAATTGTTCAGAAGAGAAGGACCCTTTATGCGTGGAGTGTAAAACTTCAAGGCGGGACCCATCTCCTAAGGAGCTGGTGATGTACCTACACGCCTTGCGCTATAAGGGAGCAGAGTTTGACTATTGCTCCAAGATGCCTGAATGGGCCATGGAGGACTGGGAGGAATGACAGAGGGCATGACATCTAAGGGCATTGTTCTAATGTGGCCGGAGAAGTGTCTTGTAAAGACCTAAGGTTTCAGGGTGCTTGAGGTGAAGAAACTGCTGGTGACTTGAAATGGGGTGGGAAGCCCCCATATTGTTGGGGCTGGCAAATTGCTGTGGCTGCTGACAGGCACTGTAAAAGGTGGGCAGGAACATGGGGGTTCAGTGCTAGAATTACATTGCCATTTAGCGAACACGGGCAACAAACACCTCAATGTGTTACGGGTCTGCTGTCAATTACATACAGAGAAAACTTAGTGCATACGCTTAAATTAAGCAACTGATTTTTCTTTTGGCCTGCTCTATAATGTTCTTGTACTGTAAGGTGAGAGCTGTTGGAAAGTTGTTCAACATACTGGATATCACATCATACAGGAAAACTATTTGTACTTTGATTTTATTGTCACACTGATTTTAAAAACCAAAATGTTAATACTGAGAATACCATAAGGTAAAACCAGAGCACTGTGAAGCTGATTTCTTTACTGTTTGTCAGCAAGGTGGACTTTGCTTTGAAATTGCTCTTTTAGAATTCCTTCGCATAATTACTTGATTTGAGATCAGTAACTCTAGGAATGGATCTGTGCATTGGGCCTATTTCTGGAGGTACTAGTCCCAAGGTTTTATCCTTATGAGATTTATGAGGACACTTGATTTAGCAGAGTGTCTTGTTATGTGCCCTGTGACACATCTTCTGCTTTCTAAAAAAAAAAAACACGTAATCTTCTCTGAGAACCTATTGATTTCTAATCTTTATGCCTCAAATGAAAACATCTCCATACTTGAACAAAAATGCAAGGTAGAGACCAGTCTACCACTTTTCACTTTGTTTTTACCATACCATGGTCAAGTTGTTTCTGAATGGTATTTGTTTTTAACATTGCTTCATGTGTGCTTCAAGGTGACAATTGGCCTTAAAGAAAAAAAAGAATATAAGCAAACGAGAAGCTTTTCTTAATGCATTTTATAATAATGTCTTCAGGATAAATATCACTATAGTTCTTATTTTCATCGATGTTTATATGACCTCTGAGAGGTTTATTACAATCATTGTATTAGGTTCTTTTTTTGTCTGTCTTATGCAACCTCAGTGGTAATGACCAGCTGCACACAATCAAAACCTTTCCTGAGAAGAGCCATGTTATTTCAGGATCCTCTGCACTCACCTACAGAGGATGCATGCATAGGGTTCAACACTTCTAAAATGTTATAGAAAACTTTTTTAAAGGTGAGGAAAGGAATCCAGGAGACCTGCTGCTATTCAGTAAGCATGGCACCAGCCTTGCTGAAGCGTGGTCCAGTACTGGATGTTCTTTCCCTGTCATGCTGAGCTTTGCATTCTCTTAACCCACTAAGACACACAGGTTAAGGGAGAAACCCCTGCTTCATGAGGTGTTCTTCAGTGGGGTGCTGGGGACAACGTGTGCTCCACGACTAAGGTTTGCCAGGCCAACAGGAACAACCACCCTCTTCCCTGGCAAGGCTCCTAAAATCACTTGTTGATACCCACAGGTGTGACCAGGATCCAATAGCCTCACGTAGCCAAATGATTTTTTCTTTCCTCTCCTGTACATCTAGCTGTTGTTGAATGTTTCTGTAAGAGTTCATTCAGACTTGAGCTTTGCTCTTCTACATCCTACTAAGGGTCTCTCATGATTCTAATGTAACCACAGATTTTTATATTTTTTTCCTGTCATCATGTAATAAGGCCTGGTCTAGTATTTAGCTGCAGGCAGCTTGTTAAACAAAGGAGGTAAAAACTCCCCTGTGTCATCTAGTTTTTTCAAACACTGAAATATATATATATTATCTAACTATGTAAATGAAAATTCAGTGCCTTCAAAATAAGAATATATGCAGCTGTTACTAGCTTTAGACACAGGAAAAATTATGGATTTAAGGGCAGCTGAGCTTTAGCTGAGACTGATGTGACCCAGGTTATACTGTCTTTGTTTGTTTGTTTGCTTGTTTTTTCCTCTGTAAGAAAAAAGCACCTGAAAGAAATTTTACTGACTTGTGTCGATAGATGGAGGCCAAATGTGGAACTGCTGCTCACTGTTGTGTTTCACTTTTTCTGGCTATCCCTAATGACTGTAAGTTAATATCTTTTAATTATCACACCTTACTGGTCAAGAAATGCCGTGACTTGTCTTTTCAAGACAGTTTGGGCAATGACCCTTCAAGGTTGGTTTCTCAAGGAGCTTACCAGCGATGGCATCACATTTTGGTTTGAGTCCGAGGTGGTGGTTTCACACTGTGCAGCCACTGGGTGTCTGCTGCTGGTACCTGCTAAAAATACGCACAAGATAAAACATCTGCTGGTTTGCTACCAAGGAAAGTGTTTCTGCTAGCGATGGCATGTGATAAATCCCCACCTAGGCCTGAGAATTAGCCCAAATGTGACCAGGGAGCTCATCTTCCACTTTTTCCAGCTGTGTTTTAACCAGTCCATTACAGGTGTCACTTGTGCATATAAAGAGCTACCGTATGGCCATGCTCTGCATAAGGATCTGGTATAATCTGATTTCCACCAGGATTTAAGCATAGTTCAATCTGGGCAGCATAGCCTGGAGGGCTCTGGGAGCTGTTCCAGTAAATTACATGTGAGAGGCCCCTTCTGCTCCTGTTAATTGCAGTAATTATGGCTTCAACATGCAGCGAAGTCTTGGGGGAGCATTTTGTTTCATCAGCTTCTTGTTCCAGATTTTTAAAAGTTAACTCTTCATGCAGAGCAGCTCTTAGTAATCTGTTACACTTCTAAAATCTTGATAGCTACGAGAAAAGCTCATTACAACAGTCAGTGAACGTGGATGTGGTTTCGGTGAGGCGCTGTGATCAGCCTGGCCAGAGCTCCCTGATTTTGCAAAAATTTATTTACCTGATGCTCCCACCAGGCATTTGGCAAACCTGAAGGAGACAATTTGGGTCAAAAGAAGCAGTTTGGTGGTGTTTGGGCACAGAGGTTGCAGGGCCCCAGGGCATGCGGCTACCTCCCCTCAGGCCTCCTTAGGCGGTCCCAGGCGGCAGGAGGGAGGCACGGAGCGGCGATATGCGCCTTGGCAGCCCTCGAGGCTCTAAAATAGAATTTAAATAAGTAAGGAAAAAGAAACGGGAGTGGTAGGAGGAAAAAAAAAATTAAAAGCCAATTTCCGACGAGGATGGGATTCGAACCCACGCGTGCAGAGCACAATGGATTAGCAGTCCATCGCCTTAACCACTCGGCCACCTCGTCACGAGAGCCCTTTTCCCCGCACAGCCCATAAGAATCCGCACCACCTGCTCCCGGCCTCGCCTCCCGCCCACCGCCCGCTCTGCGAGATGGCGCCCGCCTGCTGCCCTTTGGCCTCAAGAACACAGGGCGACACGACCGCACAGAGACCGAGCCATCCTATCCTGGGCACTCCCCGCTTCTTCACACTCATTTCTGTGGCTGCGGCGTGGTACCGGCGAGGATTAATCCCGAAAAGGCAGACAACGGGCTGGCATCGCGGACGCCGCCATGTTGTACGGAACGCTGGGGGCCGCCATGTCGTACGGAGCGCTGGGGGGCGCCATGTTGTACGTCCTGCCGCCGAGCGGGCGGTTTGGCGCGCGGCGGTTGGGTTTGAACGGCGAGGCGGCGGCGCCCTGAGGGCAGTGAGTGAGGGGCCGGGGGGGGCGGCGGGGCTGAGGCGGCTTCGGAGCCCTGGGGGGGATCTGGGGGAGCTGGGAGCAGTGCAGGGGGCTGTAGGGAACGTAGTTCTGTTAGCTCGCAGCCAATTTGTAATTCTTTTATATTTAAAAGTTTTGATGAACGCGGCAAGCCACCAGCGAAGTGTTCCTGTGGGCGTCGCCAATTGGGGGCAAACCCTTCATCGGCGTTCAAATGATTTCTTTCCTTTATTTTTCCTACAATTATGCTTTTCAAAGCTGGCTTACTGCATTCCGAGTTTCTCTGGGGTCTCCTGCCGTTAATGTTGTTAATAGATCTCGCAGCTGCCTTCAGCCCCGTCGCCAGGCGCGGTTGTCCCTCCCTGCAGATCGCAGCCAAGGCAGTCGGTGGCCGTGAATTTGGAGGAAAATTGCAAAAAGGCGCACACGAAACAGTTTTACACAAAGTATTTTCGCCTAAAATGGAAGACGCTTTTATACCTCAAGCCTTTAAAAGCTCCCTCCGTGTGCTGTGGTGTGGCGAACAAAGAAACTCTATCCCGTTGCTGACTTTCACAGTACCCGGATGCATTACAGCAAAAATACTAAATGTTTTAATTACATTATGATCTCGTTATTTAAGTCATGAGATTTCCCTGTTTGTGTTATTTGTGAAACCTGAAAGTTACCAGGTGGAAGCTGTTCAAAAGATGCTGCTCTTCCACAGGCCTACGGTAGCCTTATTTTTGAATATATATTATTCCGTCTCAATGAACTAAAACGTTTTATATTTAGAAACAAAACATAACCTAGTGCTGTTAATTGGCTGAATGGTGCCAAGTTTGGGCCTGAGGGGATTTCAGTGTGCTGGGGCAGCCCAGAAATGTGAGGGGAACCTCGATAAAACGCTCGCGTTTGTCAACACCAAGTAGTACTTTTGGGAAAACACCTCTGTAAAAGTCGTAGCTACAGGTGTATGCTAGCCTTTGAGTGTCTTTCTGGGTAGTGCTCCCAGACCGTCTTGGTTTTGTTGCCTCAGAGCTGCAGGCCCTGAAAGCCAGGGCCTCTGCAGTTCCCTTTCTGAGGGGTGTATAGCAATACCCCACTAGTAAGTGATTGATTTAGTGTTTCACTAAACCTAGAGCATTTTTTTTTAAGCCTCCCTAAAGCTTAGTTTTTCCTTGGTCAGCTGGTGGTTTAAATGCTGTGATCTATGGTGAGGAGACTGGCTTAGTGGAGAAGGGGAGGTGTGGTGTTGCTTACTTGGGAGAACTTATGAATGTGTATAAAACCTTTGGGAAAGTTTCAAGAAGATGGAGCCAGAAGGGATGAGATGCAATGAGCACAAACTGGACTACAGGAAATTTCACTCACACATTAGAAAAAAAAAAATGCAGAGAAGGTGGAACAGGTTGTCCCAGAGCAACTGGCCATAGCTTTGGGCAGGGGGTTGGACTGTACGATCTCCAGAGGTCCCTTCGCACCTCCAAGAGTCTGTGATTTTGTGAAATGCAAAAGCTGAGCAGTTCCTCTCTATTTCTAATTGTCTCTTTTTTTTTAAAAAAAAAAAAAAAAAAAGTGTTTTACAATTTGCTTAACCCTTGCCTAGGCAAGAGTTTCTTGTTTGCTGAGATTTAGCAAGGGGAAAATGAAATGTGGTAGTATTGTCAGATTGCTTATAGCTGTCACATATGAATATTTTGCAATTGTAGTAACGATGGAGATATGCATGTAGATAAATCTCACTGAAATCTAGGAAAGCGCACAGAAAACTGCATTTGTTGATATTATGGTGTTGATTCAGTGCTACAATATATTGTGTTCTTTGTCAGGTCCATGGGAGAGCGAGGTTATGAGGAATATTAACCTGGTATTCAAAGCCTTGCATTTTGTTGTGCTCTGCAGGAAACCTTAGGTAATATCCTAAGGCATCTTCATGGTGTGGGTTAACTCATTATCCCCTGCTGTGACTGTTAATAGGTGTACTAGTTCATAAAAGAGAAGATATTCTTGGGGTGGCAGGGAGTAGTAGTGGATGAAAAATTGTCTTGTGTGTCAGAGCAAAATAGTGCACTTTGTATTGTAGAAGGCTTGATCATATTTATCTCCAGCAGTTACCGAAATCTTAATTTTAAGTAGAAGGCTGCCAAACCAGTAAGACTCAAACTGCTAGCTCGTTTGATTTATAACATGATATGCAGTAGAAAACACTGAATTGGGAGGCCTGTTAGACATTAGAGAATTCCTCTGAGTAAAGAAGGATAGAGGAGAAAATCATAGCAACTATCTGAGTCTAGTATCTAGTTGTGGTTGTATACAATATTCTTACTGGGATTCATTAATGTTTTTTTGATTTCAGTACTGCATTTTAGATGAAAAGTACTTCCAACAGAAATGGACAAGATTTATACAGACCCTAACATGGAAAAGTAAGTTGAAACCTCATAAGGACCTCATTGAGATTTGACTATTGTCTTTTAGATGCAAAATGTTTCTTAATCCCTGTGTGCACCTTAAGATCTCTTGAATGAAATATGCTGTCTGTCATGAAGAAATACAGGGAGGTTTTCTGATCATGGTGTAGGAAAGCTCAAGGAAATCTCATAGCAGTGGATTGTCTAGGGACTGGCCACAGGGGTCAGAGCACAATATGTTGATTTTTCCAAGGGTCATTTATGGCACCTAGCATTGGAATAATCTATTCCAAGCAAGTTTGTTTAAGTAACTTCACACTTGTAAAAATAATGGAGAGATTAAATTATTAGCCATAAAAATGTGGCAGCACTGTTCAAGAAATACATCTTGGTTCCAGTTTATGCACTAATATCTATTTCTCTTTTTTTCCCCCCAGTGATAATACAGAGCACATGAGAAGAAGGCGACTGTCCTCTGTGAGTAACTTAAGGCATTTCTAAAATAAAACTGAGTGAGTGAAGGAAGGGAAGGGGAGCCATAAAGAAGAATTAGTTTTCTCATCACAGCCTGAAGAAAAAACATACCAAGAACAAAGAAAGACCTTATTAAGTTTGTGATTGAATGTGATGCTTCTGGCGCTTACAGATTCTCTACTGCCAAGTAATCAGTTCATGTATTCTTGTGAAATAGTTCACTGATTGTATGGCTGGCTGATGTATTCAAGTCTGAAAGCGTTGCTTTTCACATTAGCAATGTGGCAGAAGATGATACAATTTCCACAGAAGGATTCGCAGGTGAAGCGAGTGTACAGGGATATACCTAGTAATTTTCTGATTGAAGTGAATGAATTTAGTATGCACAAGGGCAGTTTACCCACTCTTTTCTCAAAATAAATACGTGAATAAGATACTCAAAAATTAAAGTTATGCCTTCATGGTTATGGATTCAGAATTTTATAAATTCTTTGGTCAATAATAAGTATACCTCCAGCTGAACTCCCATGTGTGGTGCATTGGTGAGAAGCAGGGTCAGAGTCTGGGACAGATGTCCAATGCAAGAGTGAATTGTAGGTTATGAAACCCACGGTAACTTGTGCATAAGTGACGTCTTGAACTGCTTGTACGCCAGCTGTGACTGAACCAGTCATTTACTTGTTGCTTGATCCTTTCTTTGTGGGAGCTGGGTCTGATTTTCTCAACTTACTCTCTTTTAGATTTTAAAGGCTCCACGAAATCCTCTTGATGATTTGGGAAACGGGAATGAACTCACTCAGGTAGGTCTGTTAAGTCCTTGTTTGCTGATGCTCTTAATATCTTTGGTTTGCTCCTCAACCAGTCCCTGGTTAAACAGGGTCACTAGAATAATGTAGGTGTAAAAACTCCTGTAATAACTGCTTTGGAGGATAATGTTTGGAGTAACAAATATTACATGAAATCTGTTGAACTTTTATTTTACATCAGAATATGTCTTCTGTCAAGCAGGGAGGAATAGTCAGAAATTAATAGATACATCTTGCTTCTGGTGTAGTCCAAGTTTGCCACCTGGAGTACTGTGTGCAGCTCTGGGGCCCACAGTGTAAGAAAGAAATCACCTCTCAGCGTGGGTCCAGAGGCTGAAGCACCTCTCTAATAACTTCTTTCAAAATATATGAAATATGAGCCTGAAATACCCATGCATAACATACTTCAAAACTGATTTGAGCATGAAGAGCAGCTCAGTCTTCATTTAAACATTAATACCTTTTAACAATGATGTGTAGTACTGCTACTGAGCAATATAGAACCATCATATGCAGTAGTGCGACTTTGTTCATAACTGCTTGTGATGCTGACATGGTTCCTCTGTGCGTATAATGGATAATGTCAGTACATCAACACGTTGTCTGCTTTCTTAAACAGTGAGTGTTCTGCTGCCCTGGACAGAGCTGTTTAATTAGGGAAGCTTACTGCAGACACAGTACTGCCGTGGTATGGTGAATTAGCTTTACAGTATATGCAGCGTTGCATTGTTACACACCTTGTAACATTGCATTAGTATAATCATGCGGTCAGTGACACCGTTTAAACACTTCTTCAGGAAAATATCAGTGGTGATTTTGATTCTTCCATGTATCCTTTCCTTTCTCCCATAGAGGTGAGGTTTTTTTCCAGTTGTCACAGAAAACTAAATTAAAAACAAAAAAAATCCTGCAACTCACTTGTGCTAAGCAGCTAAGTGTTTTTTCCCTAGTATGCCAAACATTAAGCCAGACAAAAACCCTTATAAGTGGTATTCTGCTTCTTCTGTCTGAAACCAAGCAGTTAGTACAAAATGATCTTTAGAACCTGCTTCTTGTGAGATAGGTGTCTCCCTGTGAAGAGGAGAGAAGCTGGAGAACTATAAGTAGTTCAAAGATGTTTGAAAATATCTGTTGTTAAGCTATTACACTTGCAGTTTTTCTTTTTTTTTTTTGGGTGAAGAAGAACATAAGAACTGTTCTCTGTACATCAAACTGTCTTTTTTTTTTTTGTCAGGATATCAATATAGAAAAACGTAGGAAAAACTCCCGACGTGTCAGCTTTGCGAACACCATAAAGTAAGTTTGATCTGAAGAATGCAGATCTACATCTCTTTATTTAAGCATAAAGTTGTAGGTAATGATCTGCTATCACCTGAAGTTGCTGTTTGCATACACTTATGGGCATTCAGTGAAGAAAATTGGTGACTTGTTATACTAAGTTGGTTTTAAGCCCCGGTAGAAACATTACGCACTTTCTCATCCTAGCTATAAAGAATGATGGAGTAAATTTCATATAATTAGGAAAGTTTGGTTTTCATTAACTTTTCTAGTGATTTCACATGAAGTATGATAATGGTATCTTCCTGCTGGAAAGTATGTTTGGGTTCAGTAAGCTGCTGTCTTTCGGTACCATTTCAGAACATATCATGTGGGAAAAGATTGAGATTATTTTTTTTTTTATTTTAATTTTTTGTTTGCTTTAAAACAGATTATCTTGTGTTTTTAAAAACTGTTTTTATTTGTTCTTAGCTGCAGAGTCTTCCAGCGAGATCTTAAGAATAATGCAGCAGAAAGAGAAAATGAAGGTAAAAACTCCTCTCTTTTCTGACAGGTTTCACAGACTATTAGCAACGAGACTTCAGCCAGAATTTAAGAAGTCAAGCTCATCAGTCATAGATAGGGAACAACATGGTCAGCTGTTTATGATGGACTGGATGAAAACCCATTAGTTACTACTACTGTGGACCTTGTAGCTCGGAGATTATTTTTTTTTTTAGACAAAATGTACGTGGAACAAAATCTGTTTTGGGGATTGTTGTGGTTTAACCTGGCTGGCAGCTAAGCACTACACACCCCTAACCTGCCTGCTGGCAGGACAGAGCGAGAAGCTGAAAAGTCCTTGGCTTCGTGTAATTGCTGCTCTGCAACAATTTGTACATCGGTGTGTTATCAACATCAGTGTGTTATCAACATTCTTCTCATCGTAAATCCAAAACATAGCACCCTACTAGCTATTAGGAGAAAAATTAACTCTATCCTAGCTGAAACTAGGACAGGAATTTAGATCAAAAGAAGACTGAGAAGAATGTCATATTCACTCTGTCAAAAATTACCTAGGAAGAATCTGAAAAGCTAATGCATTTTCAAGTACTTTGGTTCTCTGGGTTTTTGCCATGATAAAAAGGAACATAAAGAGTGAGAACTGCAGAACATTCTTTTCTGTGCACTTTACTCTCATCTCTGAATGTTTTGATCCTGTTTCTCTCATTGTAACATCTGATTTTCTTATTTTTAGAGTGTGCAGCAGATACAGGGAATCATGTCCTACTTAATCAGTAAGTCTGGGGAAAAATTATTCCCACACTGCAAATACATTTCTTCACACGGCACGCGACCATAAGAATGTTACTCCTCAAAGAAACCAACAAATGTAACGTGCTTATTTATTTAGATATAAAATTGCTGTATACATTTGACTGGTTACAGGAATACAGCAGAAAAAGGATATAGGTGTTCTTGCCATTCACAAAAAAAGTAGATGTTTCTGAAAAATTGAACAATTATGTCTTGAAACTGCTTCATCCTAAGTTGATTGTTTGGGAATGTCTTCCAGGAGAGACCTACCAGATTCCATATTTGATAGAGATGGTCTTGGATGTTTATTATCATCACTTTTTCACTCAGAGGTGGATAGAGTATTAGTCTGGTCTCAAAGTTCTGGCCTAGATAAAATAAAATTAGGAGATTGTTGCTCACCAACTCAATTTAATTTTAAAAGATTTAGACTGTTTCTATGCATGAAGGCATTTTTTTATATTTAAAATATACAGCAAGGGAAAATTTACCTACAGCTATAGTTAACAAACACTTATAAAGCAATACAGTAACATATGTGTGTATAAACAAAAATCAGTATTCTAGACAAGGCAGTCTGGGCTTGAAAGAACATATAAGAAAACACTGAAGAGCAGAAGTCATTAAATGTTAGATGAAAAGCCAAAGTTGGTCGGTGTACCTGGCTTTTGATTTTGCAGAAAAATGACTGCAGGCTTTAGGAACACGTCTTCAGTTTCCCGAAAAGAAAGGAACAACTAAAAGTAGAAAGTCTGAGTTAAAAATAACGCATTAACCTGTTTAAAAATCAAGTATTAACCTATTTTCCCATGAAAAAAAGAGTTTCGTGGGAAAATACCACTTTAGTTCAAATTACAAATATGTCTTCAATATATCCTAATGTTTGGTGTCTGCTGCCCAGTCGTGTATGAGCTCTGCAATAGAATTCAGAATTCTCTGCCTGTTAAGTATATTGCTGAAGCCCTCCGGTTTGCAATCTTTTAACAAACTTTACCTAAACCATCTTTTGTAGAAATGAAGAACCTGAAGATGTTCCATGTGAGATCACTGGTGAGTTTGAAAATAGATTTAACAACAGAATGACTATTTTTATTCCAAACTATTGATAATAGTTGACAGAACACTTTTAACATGTCTAGAACAGTCTCACTGATGGAGATCACTATTGCATGAACAGACTGTCTCAGTGCTTATAAACAGCATTATGTATTGTAGAAGCATGGGTAAGCTTACTACGTGTTCAAAGGAGTACTGAAAATATTTTTCAGGATACATTTCGTTTTAAATGTGCTTACTCAGAATGTGATACTTATGTAATGAGTGCATTGACCTTCATTTCAGTTGATTAAAATAATAAAATAGCTCAGCAAATGCACTATATCCTTTTCTTTTGACAGGGATGAACACTTTACTTCATGCCCCTATCCAGGCATTGGTGCAGCAGACTGAGGTATGTGAAGGTGCTCATTTTTTCAGTGCTGAGAATAATAGTGTCCAAAATATACTGCAATAATTTGTGTAGTAAAGGTGAAACATGTACCCCAGCTGCCTAAAACGTAAATCCTCGTATTCACAAGAAATTTGTCTGAAGCATAATCTTCTATGTTTTGAAGTAGTTTCCTAATCTGATGGTCCTTATACTACACTGTTGATAATTTTTGTTTCTAAAATTGCTTTTCAGTATCTGAGCTAGTTCTTACATTTTTTTTCAATGCTTATCTAAGAATATGTAAAGGAGCTTATGTTTCAGATAGGTCAGTTTAATTTTTTTGCTCATGGATTACTGTCTACTTTTTTTTTTTTTCCATGGGTGGAATGGATATACACTGTCTGTTCCTACTGTTAAAAAGGTTCAGAAAATTGCAGTGACTAGCATGAAAAGGTAACTGAAATGCTTCAGTTGACTCAAGTGATAAAACAACGTTTTTAGTTAAGACCTTCACAGCCACAGAAATCCTGAACTGTGCTATACTTCAGTGGTGATGTCATAGGTCTATTTTATCAAACAAAGCAATTGAACAGTATCCTTTGATCCAATGGCTTCCTTTCATGCTGAATTTAAAGATATGGTTTAAAGAATGTCTTAGCTCTTGTGAAAAAGTAAAGGTTAAAATCTAGATGTGTGCCATGATCCTAAAAAGGTCATACTGAAACCCTCTCTCCTTGCTTTAAGTAATGTATATGATTCTTGCTTTTTCTAGTGTATTTTATTTCTTGCATTTATAAAATAATAATGCATATATAACAATACACTTAATTTAAATTAAACACAAAGTTGTTCTTAATCAGTGTATTCATTATGTTTGATAAAGTACAGTATTATATCTTGATACTGGCCAGTTTTTATCCACAGCTTTAAAACTCTAAATCGTTTCTATTAAAGAGACTAAAATCTTCTTAGTCAGGGTGGAAGACTTTTAAAAATTCCAGCTTGGCACTGCTGTTTTGGGGAATGTACATAAGCTGGGCAGGGATTTTGCAGTGAGTGGATGGGGAAAGATAGAAACACCACATAGAAAATATTGATTCATAAGTCTCGGTGATTGTTCCGTGTCTACAAGGATTTCACATGTGAAGACGTGAAGTTTTTGTCCAACAGAAATCTGAGCAACATTCTTTCAAAATTCTATTTAAATACATAAAGATATTACAAACATAGAATGTAGGCTGTAAGAATTTGTAACAGTTAAGTTGTCCTTTCCTTTAATATGTTACTACTTGTTGAGGAGGACTGAAATGTTTTTTTTCCTCCCCAAAAAGCTGTAAAGATAGAGCTCTAACCTTTAGACTGCATTAGTTGACTTCTGTTTTGAATAGAGTAAACCACTGTGTCATTTGTTACAAGTGTCAGTAACTGTCACTTCTTGTCTTTTTTCAGTGCCATGATGTGGACAACGCCACTCAAAGAACAAATAGGCATGACACAACACTCATCTTTTCAGATGAAAATGAAATGGAAATGACAGCTAGTCACACTGCAGTGATTGCACGTAACCTGAAAAACAATGAAACTGACAAAACTGAGAAAATAGATATCACATCATTTCTGGCTGGGTTAAACTCTAACAGTGGAAAGGCAGAAATGAGTAAAGAATTTCATTTCTCTGTTGATCCTACAAACCGTGTGTGCCCATCTTTTGAACAGAAGGAAGATGCTACTGCGGTAAAAAAAATAAATTTCAATGAATTTTTGATACGCTTGAAATCAAATGAAAAAGCACTCAATCCTATTGAAGGACCTGAAAAAGAAAACCTTTTTTGTGTCTCTTCACAAGTCTCAGAAGACATGGCACGATCATCGGTGGAATCTGATTATTCCCATGAACCACTGGCCACCATCAATGTAACAAAAATCTTTAGAGAGCAAGATGATGGAATGGAAGTGACAAAATGCCAAGCATCTGATGTTAAAAATATGCGTTATGGTATTTGTGGGGCTCCACCAGAGCAATTACCGTGTCCAGATGTTACTGAGGCATTTGCAGATGATGGAATGGATATGACAACTAGTCACACTGCAAAAATGTCTTTTCCTTTTGCCAGTGTTGGAAATCAAAGTCTAAACTTCAAAAAGGATTTCCCATCCATGGAGACAGATAATTATTCTGTAGTAAAGAGAGCATCTCATCAGCAATTAATTGTAAAGCAGGATCCTCAACTTTGTACAAACAAAAAAACAGTAAATGTTGAAGACACTGTAGATACTACAGTGCCTCAAACTTTTAAGCAAGAGACCAGGGCTTTGTCTGCTATCCCGGGATCTGTTTCTTCTGAGACTGTCTTCCGAGGTAATAAAACTGTTTTTTCGGAATGTGGTGACATGGAAATTACTGGGAATTACACATATGTAATCTATAATGAAAATGCCAAAGGAATGAGCAGTTCATGTCATAAAACTTTTGAGAAAACAGTTAATACAAACTCTTTGCCAGTAGAAAGCAGACATCCAGCACTTGATGATGATACAGAAAGTCTAACATCTTTAGATAATCGAGCTTCTGAGTTACATAAAACTAATGCACTTGAACACCTTTCAGGCTCAGATGGGAGAGCTGAAAGAGTGACCCAAGATCACAGGACTGCTTCAGTGGATGTTGGTTTTGATTCGTGTAGAAATTCAGTGTCCGCTGGTACCTGTAAGGTGTTTTCAGGAAAAGATACGGCCTTGACTAAAACTTGTATTGACAAAGCTGATGGAAAGAATGTTGAAAATGAATTTCCTCCTGGAGTGTCCATGTCTGTCACCCGCAAACCACGTTTTCTTGATAACAGAATATCTACATCTCCCAGTTTAAGTGAGCAGGAAAAAATGGAAATAACTAAATGCCAGACTGTTATCATTGATGATCAAAGCATTGGGATAACTGCAGAAGCAAAACAAATGCATGGTAAAAGAATTCCAGGTGAGAACCACAACAAAAATGTCAGTGCTGTGGCAAGTTCTTTGGACAGGGACAAGGAAAATCTTGAGGCAATTGGTTTTGATGTGAATATGAAAAGAAAACAGCCTATGGAAATGAATACTGATGATGTTGAGGTGATAATAGTCAATAAGAAGCTTAGAAAAACAAACTTGCAGGCAAGTGGTCTGATTTCCTGTGTGAAGAGCGTGTGTTCATTACAAGAGCAAAAGACAGAAATCGCAGAAAATCCTGCCACCACCAACAGTGCATTCATGTCTTTGCAAAGTCAAGAAGCTGATATAACTCAGCCTTTGAAAAAAACCCTTCAGAATGCTTCAGTTTCCTGCACAAATGACAAAACAGACGTGTTTTCAGATGATCAAAACATGGATGTAACCAAAGCTCATTCTGTTGCTTTTGAAGTTGCTCCTATTAATACAGTACAAGAATATGAGAATAGTCATAATCAAAATAATGTGATATTCAAGCAGCTGCAAAAACAGATCTCCCGATTTTCCAATAATTCTGGTGTAGATCCCACTGCAGGTCAGACTGCAGCAATAGAATATAGGGATTTTAAAAGGAGCTTGGATAAACAAACTGTTACTCCTTTATCTGCAAATGGTATGTTCATTTCTAGTAGTGAAACTGCTCCCTCTGGAAATACAAGAAATGTACAACCTGCAAAAGTACTAGGTATAAATGCAGATTGCCAGAACTCTGACAGGCAAGTGAAAACCCATACTGTGAAGGTAGTAGACAATGCACTGCCAACTCGAGAAGAATCTGAGAGAGATTTCCTGATCAGCAAAACAGTTTCATCACAAGAGGATTTGAAAAATCCTCTGTCAGTCAATGGCCTGCACTCAGGTATTGAAGAGAAGTTACGAACTAATACATCTGAACAACAGAAGAGAAGTTCCAAGTTGCCTTCCTTTTCAGAAAAGTCTGTTTTATTTCCCTCTGGTGAAAACATGGACTTGACTGAAAGCTATGCAGCAATTTCTCCTGATCAAAACATCCATATGATATTACCAGGAAGAAAAGCAGCATCAGTACATGTTGTTGAAGATGAAAATAAAACATTATCTTTAAAAAGAGAGGTCATGATGACAATAAACAGTCAGGAGCAGCCTGGGTGCAATACGTACTCCTTGGTATCTGGTAAGAAAATGTTAACTATGACTGGTTTAAAGCATTTCGTAGATGAGAAAACTACCATATTTTCGGAAGATGCTGACATGGACATCACAAGAAGTCATACGGTTTCAGGAGAAAACAAAATAATTTTGCTGCCTAAAAGTTCAAGCAATGACATACCCTTTGTTTCTGGGGATAAAACTTGTGTTTTTACAGACAATAATGACATGGAAATAAGTAGATTTGATACTGTTGGAATTGATAAATCTGTGGAAAAGGCTGCAGCTGGAGGGATGCTTAGCAGAGCTAATAGGACTGAAAGGAAAAGCTCCAAGGGAACAACAGGGGAAAAGACTGTTTTATTTTCACAGAGTAATGAGGATAATGACATGGAGATCACAGAGAGCCATACGGCTGCAATAGGCCATGAAATTGTCTCCCAAAAAGAGGTCAGGCTTCATTCTCTGTCTTCAGCTCAGCCTGTTAAAGCTGTTAAGTTCACAAGTAACCAGAGTTATGTGGACATTACTATGTCTTGCCCTGCTGATAAAATTACAGTAAAACTTTTACATGATGATAACTTGAACTTGAATAAAGAGGTTGAACAGGATGCTCCTTCAAACAGTGATGCTACTGTGCTTCCTGTGGATGATATGGAAATCACTAAAACCCATAACGTAACTTTGGAAGCAAATTCTCTGTGGGCTAGGCAACCCAATCGGTCTGTTCCTCTATGTTCCACAATTATTTTTACAAATGACAAGGCTGATATGGAAATGACCAGCTATCTCCCTGATGATGAAAGTACTGAAAGAGTCATGTGTGAGGACAGAGTAAACCCAGCTAAGCAGGTTGGACAGGAGGCTCTTTCAGGTAACAAAACAGTTGTTTTTACTTCTGCTGAGGATATGGAAATCACTAAAACTCATACAGCTGTGTTAAGAGGTGATGTGTGGGACAGAGGGTTAGTTCCAGCCATTTCTGCAGTTCCTGCTGATCAGACCACTGTGTTTCCACACAAACAAGATGATATGGAAATAACCGTATCTCATACAGTTGCTGTTAATAACAATATGGAAGGATTTGAGAACCAGCAAGTGTCACGTAAAAGCACTCGACAACCAGGCTTGCATAGTGCATCGTTGTCTGCTTGCAGAGATGAAGTAGATTCTCTGCAAGTAAAAGATCTGAATGGTGAGTATCTTAAAAAATCTAATGATAACCTCACCACTCCTGCTTCATCAACCTCAGCATTTCCTACTGAGAAGGGAGCTGCCAAAGTTCACAGTGGTGCAATACCAGATTCCGTTTATTCTGTCTCACTTCCAGAAGACACTCCGGATGTCCGGGCACCACAGGATCTTGACCTTGCCACGGATAATTCAGTTCCTGTAAACAGTCAGCAGGATCTTGTACAGCCAGGAAAACTGAAATTAAAGAGAGTGCCTTTCAGATTTCCAGGTAATGCCCCCTTGGAGTGCAGTGAAGAAACTGGAGATGTGGTATCCCGTGTTTCTCTTCCTGTTCAGCAATCGGATTCTTTGAAGAGTCCTCCAGATGGACTTAGTAGTCAGACAAACCAGGTATTGAAAGATAATTCATCTAGGCATGAAGATCTAGATGCAGTTTTAGCCAAGGATGGAGCAGTTCCAGTTTCTGACAGCGAATCAAAGGAAAATGAGAGGCTGTCAGCTGAAGGGGAAGTACTTCCAACAGACTTCCAAATAAAATCTGAACAAACTAAGCAACCTTTGGTCAGTGACAGTCCAAGAGATCCAGTAGATCCTACTCTTCTACCTAAATTATCAGGTATTTTAAATGTTTGTTCAAAACTGGAAAATATTAGAAGGAAATCTATAGTTGTCTCTGTTCCTGAAACTACTGTTTCTGACCAGCTGCATAAGTTACCAACTCAACCAGAGGATACCTTGAGGTTAGGAAAAAATACCATAAATGAACAAGATAATTTATTTTATCCCAAAGAGCAGGAGAATGCATGTCTTGAATCTGGAGCAGCTCCTGTAGGTACGAATTTAGGTATGGCACTTAAGGACAAATATCAAGGAATAAATGTCCCTCTAGGTATCTTCCAGCCTAAACTACCACGCAGAAGAAATCCTTCTGTTTCTAACGTGCAAGACATAAATGCAAAATCTTCAGAGAAAGTAGAAGCACTGGTTTCAGAATTAAACCTAAACACCGGTGAAGCACCAGATTACACCAAATCTAGTAGGCAGAACTTCAGCCCTTCTCGGTTTATAGCAGAAGAATTTCTTCCCATATGCCAAGAAGCAATGGATTCGAATGATTCTGTAAGCTTTGGATCTGTGGAAGATGGTTGCAATGAGATAAACAAGAGAAACATCTCCCACAATGAACAGGTTAAACGTGAAGAAACAAAAACTTCTTGCAAGAGCACAAAAAGAGCTTTGGAACAAGATGAGGAGGATCTTCAAAGTCTAAAGAAGCTCAAGGCAGAAGAAAGCTTGGTTGGTGGGACCTCCCTTGACTTGCAGGTGAGCCTGATCACTCGTTGACAGCATATAAGTGCACTGACAGTGCTTTTTAGATATTGAGATGCAAATTCTCTCTATCGCCAGTTTGCAGTCATTTTGTTCTATTTTTCCCATAATTTCTCTCGCTGTTTTCTCAAACTAAAACAATTGATGTGTGCAACTTCACAGATCCATGACAGAGTAAGGGATATGTCAGTTCTCTCCATAGTATCCTGTTGAGCCTTTCTCAAATAAGTATTCTTAGTTGTCTGTACTAAACCATATGCTAGTTGTTGCTTAGGTATAATGATAAATTAAGACTGAAAGCAATTACTTAGAAAATGAATGTTTATTTTAAATTAGCTGTCTTATGGACAGCACAAATTGCCATGGGCTCAAGAAAATCTGTGCAAATATGGAGCGCTAATCTGACCTTAAAATTAGTTTGTACATTATCAATACAAACTTTCTAATTCCTAAAGCTGCAAGAGTGTGCTGTGGTGGCTACTGCTTTGAGAAGTAAATGAGGGATTTTGTAACATCGCTTCCTATATGCCATGGTAGGAAATGGCTTAAGTACATGCTGGTTTTTTATGCTAATTAGCTATAAAATGTGCAGATACCAAAAATAAATTCTGAATGTCAAGAAACAGCTACATAAGCAACTGATTGAGTTATTCTTACATTGTTTCATATAGCTTTTCTTTTCCTTTTCTTTTTTTTTTTTTTTTTTTTAACTTGCTGATACTAGGTTACTTCTGGCGCTCTGTCTCAAAGCCAAGTAGATGTTCGTGAAGGTGAAGATCTTCCAAATCTATCAGCTAAAAACCTGGACTGTACTCAAGCCAACAGCAGCAGCTCTCTAGATTCTGTTAAGGCTGACACAGAATTAACAAGTAAGACTTCCTTTGCAGCAATTGTCTCAAACTTTTCTATTCTTTTTGCTTAATCAAGGATGAGCCCTACCCATAATACATATTTCATTTCTGAAAAGCCTTGAGTGCCTTTGGCACAGCTTCCTACCCAGCCAGCTGACGTGGTTTTACGCTCTCACTATGAGGCCAAGCCATTCAAGCAATACTGAGATGAGGAGGAAAAGCAGTAGAATTTAAGTACACCTTTGTTTTAGTGGGCAGGTTGGGCTGAAGAGGTAGTTTAGTTCCCCTAGCACAGAGTAAATCTTAGTTTATTAGCTCTTGCCGATCAGCTGGTACCTACCAATGAGGCAGAAATCTGCCGGTCATCTGGTAAGTGATATTTTGCCTATGTTTACAAACCCAATTCCAACTTTGCCCCTTGCAACCATGAATATATATGTTTAGTCCAGTGGAAGTTGGACTCTCCTTGGAGTGAGAAACTAGGCCTTCTTAGCTTGGCACTTGAAAGCTATGGTTTTACCTAGAAATTTGCTGGCAGCTCAGATGCCATTTGGTCTCTGCCTACCAGTGTTGCCCTCTGAACTGGCTGGAGTCTGTTTCTCAGATTTATTACTTTTTAGTATGATACACGTGGCTTTCCTCCTATAGAAAAGTGAATTCTGTCTTTTCATTACCACTCTAATATGAATTTTATTTTACGTTAAATTTCTAATCTATTCCTTAGGATTTGCCTAAAGTAGTTTTTTCCTCATTAACTTCATTCAGCACCAGATACACACATAAAGGTCGAACTCTACATTAAAATGGCTTTACTTTTGGAGCTAATGAACTAAGATTCATATTTCTGTAATAATATTTTTAACCCCACCAATGCCCTTTTCTTATTTTTCTCTAGTTCAGCGATGCAGTCAGATGGAGTCTCAGCTTCTCACAGACAGCCTCTGTGAAGATAATTTATGGGAGGTATGCATATAGCTGAGAGATGTTAATTTCTTTTCCTAACAGGAAGAATACTTGTGTGCATATATACCAGTAAGTATTCTCACTTATGTGTATGTTTTTCCTAACTTTGCAGAAATTTCAGAGTGGTGTTATCACAGTTGGAGAGTTTTTTACGCTTCTTCAAGTCCATATTCCAATTCAGAAGCCCCGACAGAGCCATCTTCCAGCCAATGTGAGTGTCTGTCCTCCTGATACGCATGAGGCTTTGAATTGTACTTGTGGTTTGTCGTCGTCGGTTTTTAACAGCTAAGTGGTCTGTACTGAAGGTCTTTAGATGAGTCAAGGCAGAAGTCAGTTCCACCTTTGCAAGTTAGACATGACATGCTTCCAATTCCATCTTTGCTTGTTTACCTCTGGTAACAGATACTTTTTTTTTCCCCTCAGTACTGAAAAGTAGAATAGATTTCTATCTCTTGACAAAATACTGTGTATTGAGGATCATCTGTTCTTGGATAAATATGCTGATCCTTGGTTTTCGAGCTTGCTTAAAGAGCAAAATGTTTGAAAGTAAGAATTAGAAGCTCTATCTAACTTCACTTTATCTTCTTACTACATCCATCATCCACTGAAGTCAGAATCCTGAAATGCTGCTCTGCCCTCCTGCTGCCTCTTCTATTCTCTTCTGAGTTGCTGCACCATGACATACCTGTTCGCCTTATTTCTCACCCTTAAGTCTGTTCTGCCTGATCCTTTTTTCAGTATCCTCGTTCTGGATGGAGGGAAGACTTCTTTTGAATTCTTGCTGATATGGGAACAAATATTTTGCACGCATGCATACAGACAAGCACCATGTATTAGTAGTAACCTGATACCAAACAAGGAAGTAATTGTACTGTGCAGCCTCTCTGAAAACAAGGCAAGGTGTCACAATTAAGAGAAGACTGAGATTTTTCACGAGGCAGTTTTAGGACAAGGAATGCCTTTCATTAATCCACCTCTGGCAACATAATTCTTAAAGTAGAATTTATTTCTGTAAGCTCATCTTGAGTCTGTCTTTAACCCATCACACTTCTCCATCCACACTTCTCATGTTCTTCAAATTTTGATATATGAAGTTGATCTTCAGGTTGTTCTTCTTAAAGCCCTGTGAAGAGAAAACCTCAAAGCTAGTATAACAGCACATGACTAGCAAAAGCAAAATAAAATTTGTTTGGGTTTGGTGGGGAGGAGTTGGAGTTTTGGGGTGTGGGCTTCTTTTTTTTTTTCCCTAGTGGTTCTGTTCCATTATTTTTGAAGGTACATTGAGAAGGCTGCAAAAACATATATTTTACCTTTAGCTATAATGTTCTCAGAGACCTGATGTGTTTTTAGCTATACTATGGTTTTGTTCATTTAGCATGTGGATTGCTTCAGTCAATTACAATTGCACCAAGTCCTTTATTCAATCTGGGTTTACTCAATGCCTGGAATTTAGTTCTATCATTTACATCCGGTGGAGGGGGGGAGCACTGAGAAAAACTTTCCAAACTGAAAAAAATGTGCTGAATTTTAGTGTATCTGCTTTCCAGTATTTCTTCCAGCAACTCCAATGAAAAGGTAGATTCCTTCTTACATAGCCTAGTTGTTGCTTTCCTTGTATATAGCCACTTCCAGCAATACGGTAGAGAAACTTACAGGGACGGTCAGCTTTGATGTGCAAATTGGTAAGCAAGATACTGAAGTCAGTTTCTTATGTTCAGTCCTTAGTTTTGGATAAGCACTGCAAAATGTAAGTGTGTATTGCCAATTGTGTTCCAAGTATAAATATCTGACTTCTAACTCTTTACTTTCAGAAATAACTGGAAGATGTTCCCTTTATTTCCCCTAACTTAAAAGTAAACTAGGAAACTTGTCCCATTACAATATTTTACAATATTTTAATAGCTTACATATTTCCTATCAACTTGATTTTTACATGTTACTGTTATTATGTCAGTTTTGGGTTTCAGTAAAGATACCTGATTTTTATATAAGCTCTCTTAAGAATGGTGTATCAGGGTTGATTGTTTGTACACCTTTGTGTAGTCAACTGATTTTCCAACTAAATGCTGGAAATAGTCTCTGTCACCTGTCTGGATTTCATGAATAACTGCCATTTCTTAAAAAGATTATCTAATAAAGTAGTATGAATAAGCTGCTTAGTTTTCTCTACTGACATGGAAAGCTGAGTTTTATGAGTAGAGTAAGTTTGTTTTTATTTTTTATTGTGTTTATTTAATAGAGGATATGGGGAATCAGCTCAAACAGTTCCATTTATTGTTGCTTACAGCAGTTTCTGCTGGCATGGCAAATGATGTGCCAGGGGCAATGGAAAAGCCATCCTGCAAAGTGTAAAGCCTTAGCAGTGTCTGTATAACTTAGAAGTGGGTTTGGCAGATTCTTCTATGCCAGTACTTTTTCTAGCATGCTGGAGAACTTTTCAGTAGTCTGTTCGATGTTAAATAAGTTCTAATGACATTCATTCTTCCTTCTTCTGAATGGGTTATGTGACACCTCTTTTGGTAGAGTGAAGTAGTTTCTATCACAATGACCTGTTAAAAATTCCTAGCAGTTGTTGTGTATGAAAAGATATATTCAAGAACATACTCTTTGCATGCTAAGTGATATATTTATGAAAATTCTTTACTTGTGAAATTCATTCTAGTACTTCAGGTTTAGTTCTTAGAAAGCTGGCTCCAGTATAACCCAGTCTTACAGTTGTAAGATGTTACATTGTCAGGGAATGTAAGTCAGCAGAACATTCACATTAGAAATTTGGATACCTTCTTGGAAATAAAGCACCCTGTTGTGGTGTTCTGCCTTTATTCATTCCTTCTTTGCTGACTGACTGAGATTTCTGAGTTGCCTATGCAAGAAGAAGTAAAAAGTGTCCATTTTAAAGTTCTTTATAATTCTGATATGGTAAAAGAATGAAAGCCGATAAAAAGAATGAAAGCTATATTAACATAATTTGTATTGATTGAATTGTTTCCTTTATGAGTTTTAAATCTCTTGAAGTTTTGTTTAAGATACTATTCTTAGCTACGATTTAGTTTACACTTCCAATTTGCAAATTTATTTGTACTGAGCTGTCTCTAAATATTCATGCGTCTTACAGAACTTTGGTACGACTCATTAGCATCTGACCGCTGATAAAAACAAACATAAAAAATAAAACAATCACAGAGACTAAAAGCATTCTCTGAAGGGATTGAATTAACCTGTTATTTATGTGCTTCATATATAAGTAATTTTTGGAATATCCCCATCTTATTTATTGGATGTGACTAAAGGCTTACTAAAAATTGTGAATATAAGATAACTACGCTTGATTCAGAATCTTGTTTTACTCTAGAGCACTATAGTTATCTGGGTAATGTACACACATTTTTTCAGGCTTCTGTCTAAAAGTAGTTTAACCTCTTCGAGTTTAGGTTTTCGAGCTCTAGTGATGAGAGCTCCTTTTTTCCCAAAAGGAAGCCTGTTCTCGAAAGTGAGGAAACAGGGAGCATAAAAGTGAAATGAGCTACTAAGGTTATAAGATTACCTTTTCACAGAAATAATTGGACAGGTCCAGAATGGGGAGGAAAAAAATCGTTAAAGTACATCAAGCTACCTCCGTTATTTTTTTTCCTGTTCTGCAAAAAGAAAGATTCAGGCCTTTTTGGTGGTTTCTGTACATGAATTGATAGAAAGTTGCTGTTTTTAAAAAGCATGCATCTTTTTTTCTTTTTCCTCATCATTTTTCCCTCTGTTCTTTTCCAGTGTGCTGTCAGTGCACCACCAACTCCAGAAGACCTGATTCTCAGCCAATATGTTTATCGCCCCAAGCTGCGTATTTATGAAGAAGATTGCCAGGTCCTTTCCCAGATGATAGATGAGTAAGTCTTTTCTTTCTCTTTTTTCAATCACAGGTTATATTAGTAATTCTATTTTTCAGCTCCATTTGCATGCAGAATGTCCTTAAGAAAGTTATTAATTACAAATGGGAAAAACAGAAAAATGGGAACAAACTTACTTAATATAGGTAGCCAGTTTATTACAGGTTTATATGGTATAGGGCAAACTCTTGGGGAGGAGCTGTGGTTATGGAGATAAAGCTTGTTTTTCCTCTGGTACTAATAGAGTGTTTCAGTTGCACATCAGAAGAGTTAAAGTAAAAGGTTTTGAGTTGTACTCAAAATAATCAAACATAGGAAGCAAAATCATAATAGGTTATGATCTGTTGTTTGTTCCAATTTTCCAGTCTTTACTGTTAATTGAAATACAGTTACCATAACTTATTTCCTTAACCTGAAGGTCACTTCTGGTCTGATACATAATGCCATTTACAATTTGTGTTAAATCAAGTGTTATGGTAAAATTCAAGATCAGTAGTAAGATTTTTCGCAGCCCTGTTAGCACGATTTCCCATTTCTTTAGCTGTGTAACTCTCCATCTCCTGTTCAGACCTGTTCTCTACAAAAAAACAATAGAAAGTGAACTTTGCATTATGTTCCAGAGTGTAAAAAACATAGCCCCTGTGTAGTGAAGGCTTTAGAGGACCTCTCCAAGATGTAATACCCAAATAAATGAAAATGTTTACATTTCCATATCTTAATTAGAAAAGGTGAATATAGTGTATAAATACCAATGTACTTCTTTATATGCTTGATGCAGTTACAACGAGCCTTTCTTTCAATTCTTTCTTTTTTTTTTTTCCTGTGTTTCAGATTAAAACAGTATGTAAGCGTCCAGGATCAACCACTGGTGAACGTGAATAAGAGTTTGTGGGAAGTAATGAGAACCTGCTCTGATGAAGAGGTAATATTGCATAACAAAATAATGTAATGAAGAAGTAATTTATGCATTCAAATTTATGAAGAATTTGCACATTTAAATAAAATAAGAACCATAATGGTCACTGAGTAACAGTAGGTAGGTAGAAGATACAAGGTAAAATATTTTCTGAATGAAAGTCTACTATGAGAACTGGAATAAAGAATTTCTTATATGCCAGAAGGGTTGAATGCAAAAATGGTTATCGTACTTTAGAGGAACATGTTACTGTGAAACAGAAAAACTTGATATTGATAATTCAGGTTAGATAAAGAAGAGAAACTTTAGAGAAGCATAAGCAAACAGTGCAATTTTGGAAGCGAAAAAATGAAGTGCTCTTACTGTTGAAGCTCTAGCTTCACTGGTGGTGCAGAATTGTCCATTAACTTAAATGTTTATTTAGTTTGGAAAGGTATGGGTAATAGTGTGAGACATAATAAGCAGAAAACGTTACACAAAAATAAAACTGCATACAGAATTTGGAGTGCAACAGTGGTGTCATGTGCCAAAAGAAAGATGATGAGGCCAGAGGGTATTTAAAGGAGGATGCTAATGATAATGGGCTCAAAAAGCACCCCAAAGACATTTGAATTTTAAAAAGCAGAAGCATTATAAGAGTGTCCCAAACAGAATTAAAAAGGTAGATCAAGGGATTGTTTTCCTCACTTTCAATGCCAAGAATAAAGGACTAGTCAAACAAAATAAAAAGTAAAAAATTTGGAAGACAGTATTGTTCATAGTTCATAATTAGATTTGTATTACAGTTTATCACTTAGGCTAGGATATTAGCTGGATTCAGGAAAACTATACTTAGAAGCAATAAAAGCACCAGAATCACTAGTGAAAAATAACAGATTTGAAAGGTTATTAAGCAAACCTCTACATACTGGCATTACAATGATACCACCTAGTGGAAATGGATTGAAAACACTACAAAAATGCTTTTTGTAAGTTCCTCTCATCTTCTGGATTGACAACTGTCAGAGGAAACCTTGAACTACACAATTCTCATAGTCATTTATGAAGTAGTTGAGTCACCATTCCTGGAGCTGTTAAGACTGGGGACATGGTTTAGTGGTAGACTTGGCAGTGCTAGATTAACAGTTGGACTTGATCTTAGATGTCTTTTCCAACCTAAAAGATTCTGTGGTTCTGTAATCTGTACATATATTCTATTAAAACAGGGTTTTTTTCATTTCTTGCAGTTTGGGCACTGCATGGACTTCTGTTAACATTTTGGTTAGCCTCCTTATGTTAGCCCCTTAGTAAGGGGGCAAGTGTTCTAAATAAGTCTTGAACAATTAGAATGAGACATCTGAATGAAGCTGGTGTTTTTTAGCAAAAGCATCTCCTTAAGTTATTGGAGATGTTAAAATCTGATGATACTGCTTTCTATGCTGCTCACTCTTGGAATACAGATTGTGTTGGATCTTTGCTAAGAAAACCATTACTTTAGTAGTAGCCTTGAATTAACTTGGATTGTCCAGTCTTAAATTCAATTTCCTTTGAAACTATCATGTAATACTGCAGCTAGAGAAATGGGATATTGCAGGGAGGGAGAGCAGAGAAGAGAGAAAGAGTTGATTGAAATCTTTTGTTTCGCATTCCCATTCACTTTCCCTTCTGTATTTTCTATTCATTGCAGCTGAAGAGCTTTGGAGCAGAACTGAACAAAATGAAATCCTATTTCATCAAAGAAAGTAAAATCTTGGCTCACAATGAGAAAGAGGCATTATACAGCAAATTACTGCAGAGTGCACAGGTAATGTGCCGCAAGGCTGCAGAGGTTTAGGTTTAGCAGAGGAACTTCTATATTTTATCTGTGCTTAGGCTGGCGTAAGCTGTGACCATCAAATGTAGGACCCTAACCATCTTGTATAAGACTCCTTTGTATTGAACTTGTTTTCCTTTTATTTATAAGCAAATATAAAATACATTGGGACAGTGACTTTTTCTTCTAGTTGAATTACAGGAACCTTCTACCTAGGTATAAGTTAAAAGCTCTAGAAATTTATTTAGTTACATCTCATCTCATCCCTTCAAAAAAAGAAAGTCATTATGCACGTTGTTAAGTATCTGGTACTTTCTTACCTATGGCAACTGTATTAGTGTCTGTTAGTCTGCCTCTTCATCCTAATGACAGATTGTGTCAGCTGCGTTAATTAGTTTATTAGCAAGCAAAGATCCACATGGCGGTCCCAGGAGGCGTTCAGCTTCTTCAAAAATTTCATTGACTTATGTAAGAACACATTGCAACAGAGTACAATTTTCCCGTCTTAGGAACAATATGAAAAGCTACAGTCAAGAATAGCAAATGTGGATGAATTGCTCAAGGAGGCAGAAAGCTGTCTGGCTGAACTGGAAGCAGGTATGTGTTTGCAAACCAGCGATTGATTTGCTGATTTCTTGTCCAGTCCCTCTGTTTTCCTGTAGAGCTGCTATGTAAATGGTCACTTCAAGATTCTGTGTCTGGTGGTTGCTTAGAATTTTAAAGTCCCATATTACAAATATCCGTTAGGTCTGAACGCCTTCGTTTGTGTCTGCAAACTCGTTTTGTGGAAATAACCTGCACATCAAATGAAGTCTGGGAGCATTTCTGCGTTGAAATACAGAATTCTAATTGTAGCCAAGCTGGCTAAATCTGAAAGTGATGACAGTACAGCTGCTGGCAGCACACAGAACCTGCTAGTGATCCCGCAGATAGGCAAGGCTAAGCTTTGTACTCCAGGACTGTACCATTTTCAGTGTCATGCCTGGATGGTTTAAAACTTGTTCAGTTGTGTTCAAACAAGCTGCAGTCAGTACTTTGGGATTGCCACGTAATGATAACTGTGTCTCTTCATAGCACCATAGAATAGTTTGGGTTGGAAAGGGCCTTAAAGATCATCAGTTCCACACCCCCTGCCATGGACAGGGACACCTCCCACCAGACCAGGTTGCTCAAAGTCCTATCCAGCCTGGCCTTGAACACCTCCAGGGATGGGGCATCCACAGCTTCTCTGGGCAGCCACTTCCAGTGCCTCACCACCCTCAGAGTGAAGAATTTCTTCCTTATATTTAGTGTAAATCTACCATTTTTTAGTTTAAAGCCATTACTCTTTGTCCTGTCTCTACACTCCCTGACAGAGAGTCCCTTTCCAGTTTTCCTGTAGCCCTTTAGGTACTGTAAGGTTGTTAAGAGGTCTTCTCAGAGGCTTCTCTTCTCCAGGCTGAATAACCCCAACACTCCCAAACCCTCTATGTCGGAGAGGTGCTTCAACTCCTTGATCCTCTCTGTGGCCCTCCTCTGGAATCATTCTAATACTTTCATGTCCTTCTTGTGCTGGGGGCCCCAGAGCTGAACACAGTCCAGCAGGTGAGGTCTCACAAGAGCAGAGCAGAAGGGGACAATCCCCTCCCTCATCCTACTAGCCACGCTTCTTTTGGTGTAGCCCAGGACACGGTTGGCTTTCAGGGCTGCAGGCATACATCGATTGCTTGTGTTGAGTTTCTCATCAACCAACACTGCCAGGTCCTTCTCCACAGGGCTGCTCTCAATCCATTCTCCACCCAGCCTGTGTTTGGTTTTGGGATTGCCCTGGCCCAGCTGCAGGATGTCGCACTTGTTGAACCCCATGAGGATCACACAGCCCCACCTCTCAGGCCTGTCCAGGTCCCTCAGGATGGCATCTCTTCCTTCTAGCATGTCAACTGCACCACACAGCTTGGTGTCATCGGCAAACTTGCTGAGGGAGTGCTCCATCCCACTGTTTGTGTCACTGACAAAGATGTTAAACAATGCCAGTCCCAGTTCTGACCCCTGAGGAACACCACGTGGCACTGATCTCCACCTGGACATTGAGTCATTGACCTCAACTCTCCGAGTGCAATCATCCAGCCAATTCCTTACACACTGTGTAGTCTTATCTGTCAAATCCATGTCTCTCCAACTTAGAGACAAGGATATTTATTTTTTGTTTTTCATTTATTTTTCTTCCTACTTCTCAATGCCTTCAGTAGAAATTAAAGTGCATGGTAATAGCTTTGAAACAATGGAATTAAAAGGAGCTTTATTCTTTATCTGTTACTACTTGAGGGTAATACTAAAATGTCTAGAACTCAGAGATACATGTAAATGACTTCTAAATACTGAATCTGGAAATTCTGCAGAGACCTTCTGATCCTTGTTTCCCACAGATTCTGAATGGGAAGATTGTGAGACAGACTGCAGTGAGGAAATGGCAGAAGAGGACTCTGAATCAAAAAAACTAGAGGAAGGTAATGGTACCAGCTGAACTAAAAGCCGTTTTTTGTGGTGTTTTTTGTTCATTAATGTTGGTTTTGTTTTGGTTATGGTTTTTGGTTGTGGTGTTTTTTTTTTAGTTTTGGAGAGGGTAAAACTGTCCCCATCCTTGCTGTATTAGTTGATATCAATGCAAAACTTACTGCTTTCTTTCCCACATTGGATATAGCTAATAACATAAGTGTTAAAGAATGAAAAGGATATGTTCTTCTCATGGATAAATGGGATTTAGGACTTGGAAAAATATGACTGAAAGGGTGTGTGCTGGCTATCATACCCCGCACTTCAACTGTTCTGTAACTACTAGCTTTTGTTGATGACATCAGTATCCAGGTAGAAGTAAGAGCTGTTGAGATCTTTCATGTTGTTAAGGAAGATGACTGCACAGTGAGTTAGGGCTGTCTTTGCTGCTCTTTTCTCTTACAGCTTTTTTTCCTCCTTTCTCTTAGAATTGGCAAGCCTCAAAGCTCAAGAAGAGGAACTTGAAAGGTAAGATGTCAAAAAGCTTAAAGGAGCTTAAAAATGTACACACTCAGGTTCTAGAGATTTTTATGATTTTTCACCAGTGTGCTACATCAGATGTTTTGCTTTATCTTTGCAGAGAACTGTCAGATCTGGAGACTGAGAATGAGCAAATGTTTGTTCAGTTGAAACATCTACAGGAAAAAGAAAAAAGCTGCGAGGAACTCCTGGAGAGATACAAGTAAGGAAGAGGGTTTCAGGTTTTATCTTTTTCTGTCAGTTCATTCTGGGGACTCGCATTTCTATATAAATATTTTGGGGTTTGTTGTTTTTCCTTTTTATTTTATTTGGAAGATCTTTGGATGCCCCTCTCTTCACAATCTAGGATAAGCAAAAAAGCATTGGTGAACTCCAGTATGTGAGGGACTGTTCTATTAAAAACTTTGTAGTGACACTTTACATCCAGTCTTTCTGTATCCAACTCTCCTCCCATCCCAGAATTAACATTTATGTGAAATGAATAGTATTATGCTTGGGTTCCCAAAAGATTCTTACACTCTGTTGACAAATGAAAATTTATTTGGTCTCTTCTAACATAGCTGCAAGTGCACTTAATGCTCTGATCTGTGTCCTTCAGATAATTGATTTGGTTGGTTGGTTGAAACTTAGTTGTGTTTTTGTTGGTTTTTTTTTCTGTTTCTTTTAGCTTCCCTGAGTGGGAGATTAGTGAATGGACTGAACAACAGGCAGTCTTTAATTTTCTTTATGATTCAATTGAACTTACAGTCGTATTTGGACCCCCAATAGGTAAGTGGCAAAATGGGTAGTTTTATGGCTTATGAATTTGAAAGGTTAAATAGTTGCATGATAGAAACCCAAAGGTTCTACGTTAGTGAATATTGACTAAAAAGAAATAGAAAATAAACCACAGTGCGAGTAGGCTGCTAGTAAGCAGAGAGATGGCTTTGAATATGTTTTATCAGTGCTTTCCATTAAAAAAAATTGTAAATATGTGTAATGAATGTCTGTTTCTGAAGAGGAAGAGCTGCAACTGCAGAACTAAGTATGGAAATTACTGATACTGTTTGTTTGTTTTCTGTTTTCTTATGTTTTTCTTTTTTTTTTTTTTTTTCCTTCTCAGATGGTGATGTTTTTGGTGAAAATCCTTCCAGAAAGATAGTTAGCCTGAGCTTTGAATCTCTCTTGGATGGTAAGATTTTGGGTAGCTTGAAAGTAGCTGCCCTCATTATCTCTTACTGAGAGGACACATTATAAATTTGTGTTTTAGTTGCTAATGTACTACTACATGGCTTTGAGGATATTTCTTGCAACGTGTTTTTTAATTTATTTTTTGTTTTTAACAGAGGAAAAAGCTCCACTCTTCTCATGTTTAGTCCATAGACTTGTCTTCCAGTTTATTGAAAGTCAGGGCTGCTGGCAAGAAAAGTGTCCCACACTGCAATATTTGCCTCAGGTAAAGTTCCAGGAAAGCCTATGTGACTCTTGAAAAATACTAAATCTTTTTTTCTCACAGAGAATAGGGCTGATACCGAGAACAAAATCATATTGATGAATACTTCATTAATGCAAATCAAAATCAGCTTCATGAATAAATATTCTGGGATGAGACGGGAAGTGCCTGTCCCAGAAGGCAAGAGACCTAAAAGCTGTGGTTTCTTCCTAGTTTGCTGCCTTAGTGATTTCTTAAAATCCTTTTCTCCTGCTAGTAGAAATCAGAGAATTGAGCTGAATGCCATTCTGCTTCCAAAAGAATTAACAGTTCAAATCACCAAGCCCAGTTTGGTGTTCCCACATATCTGTGTAGTCCTGTTGACAAAGCCAAGGGGAGAAACTTAGGGCAAAGAACCTATGTTTGTTTTTATGTATGTACAGTTTAATTTTTACATGCAAACTGAGATAGCAGTTAAGCTGCATTTTTCTTTTAATTTTCTAGCATAAAACTGCATTTTCAAGTATCACATAGTTTACCAGTCTCAGTTCCAATGTAATTTCTCTTCTGATCTCATGTGTAGGTGCTTCATGATGTCTCTTTGGTGGTGAGTCGCTGCAGGATCTTAGGAGAGGAGATAGAATTTCTGGAGAGATGGGGCGGAAAATTTAATCTTCTGAAGACAGATATCAATGACACAAAGTGAGTAACGTCAAGTGGAGCTTACACAAGTCTTACAGAGGGCCTCTAGACAATCAGAAAGATAATCATCAAGATAATTTGGTTTTCTTTAAGATGTTATTTTATGCAACTCCTTATTAACATTTTAACTTTTTTTAGTATAATTGAACTATAATATCCAAAAGGCTGGAAATGAAGCTCCTCTGGGATTCAGCTAACTTCCTTACTATCTTCTACTCTCTCCTTGCTTGCTGATTTCCTCTTTGACTTGACTCTCTCACTTAAAACTTTAGACCAGAGTGTAGCGATGCAAAGGAGACAGAGCCAAGAGTTTACCTGTGTAGCTTAGTGCTTCGTTTCTTTTATAATAGGCTTAGTCTTTGATTCACTTCAGTCAAGCAGAAACAGCCCTTGAAAGATGAATGCACTTAAACTAAAGTTTATTTTATTTAGCTTTCATTTTCTCACACTACTTCCCACCCAATTAATTTTTGTCTGCGTGCCTTTAAGCTGTTTACATACATTACTCATACATTAAACATACATTAAAGTTTGTACTACTCTTTGCAAAAAAAAAGTGTTCTACTATGTGCCAAAAGTCCCTTAAAAGCTGCAATTATTTAGGTCAAGAAAACAGATGCAAATGCAACCTATTCTCGGATTTACTGTGGTAGATATACCTTGGAATGACCATTTTTTATGCTTGTCCTGTTTTATGCTATCCCATAGCGTCTATTCCCTGGGCCTTGTGTACTTGGTGATGGTCTTACCCTTATTTGCAAAAAGATTCAGTTCTGGCCTTCCTGGATATTGTCATAGACAGTACTGTTCTAGATAGAAATTTGACCTGATTTAAACAGGGTTGGATTCCTGAAACAAACTTAGAATTATGGTCCTGCTTAAAAGCTCAGAAAACTTTAGCTAGCTAGAAATGTTTTATGTTAATTGGAAAACAGATGTTTGACTATTGCTCTGTACTCTCCTGTAATTTTGAAAGGATCTGTGAATTACGTGGGTATAACTTCTGTAGGGGTTTTGTTTTCTAATTCAGTGGCAGAATGCTGATAGTGTTAGTATGGAAAGGTTCTTTTAACTTTATTATGAAGCCACTGCTAGTCTATTTCAGACTTCTTTAGGAACTCTTGAGCTTATTGCAATTTGTTTTCCTTTCTGCAACTGAATTCAAAGGAGAAGGCAGTATATTTGTGCGTTTTGTGTTGATATTTTTGTTTTTATTTCTCACACAGTTTGAAGCTTTTGTTCTCCAGTTCCACAGCTTTTGCAAAGTTTGAGGTGACTCTGTCTTTATCTTCCAACTACCCAGCTACTTCACTGCCTTTTACTGTCCAAAAACAAATAGGAAATATTGGGTGAGTTGAACAGAAAGAACCACTCCACGTAACTGAAATTTAAAGGTAGGGGTGGGATATTAAATGGTCTGTATGCCCTCTAACACATGGTAATTGTCTCTTTTCCAGACACGAGGAAATTTCTGCTGTTCTGTCCAATGTACCAGTTGGTTACCACTATCTGCGGAGAATGGTGAGCTTGATCCATCAAAATTTGCTCCAGGATGCCAGATGATTCGCTAGATCCAAGTGCAGGACTGAAGAAGTCAAACTGGACAATCTTTGACGTTAGCCTCATAAGAATTCAAGGTCTCTCTCACCAGAATGGGAATGTTGTTGGCTTCTCAGCTCTCTAGGAATCTTGTTTAGTACCTGCTTGATATCGAGGATGCTCAATGTAGACCACAAGCTTTTCTTTTGTACCAAACTATAAATGGAGAAGTCTCTGAAGAGGACGAGGAAAAGTTTCTTAACTCTTCTTTTAATCCAGTCTACCTTTTCTTCTAATCACCAGTGGTCTTGGCCTCCTTTTATAGTCTTTCCTAGTATGAATATTCTTCTGACATAACTTGTTAATTTTATTCTGGATTGATTTACAGAGCTCTTGCGTGAAACAATAATGATTATTTTCTAAATTAACACGACTGGAATTTCCTTTCATTAGCATTACTTCTTCACTGTATAACACTCTAACATATCACATCAATTTTGATCTCTATCAGTTTCCCAGAACCCTTCCCAAAACACAGAATGATAGTCTTGCTTCCGATTAACCAAATAACCTGTAATAATTAGACAATTGGCCAAAGCTGAAAAGACTTCGGTCATGAAGACTACAGATCTCTGTGCTTGACCATGGACATCAGAATGCAACAGACTTGGAGTCACCAGGTTCAATCTGTGTGAGCTGTTACAACACAAAGTTCGTTCTGATGTTCTGTGCGCAGGTCTTCGTCCAGTCCAGTCTCTCTCTTCATTTTGGTACGTTGTCTGAGGTTGTAATGAGTTAGAATTTTAGTGAGGAGACAGCTATTTAAATTTAGGAGGCGTCTGTAATATCATTGGTGCAGTCCAGATTGATTTTGTATATAATTTATATATTATGTAGGTTGAGCAGTTGGAATTGATATAATGCTGATTGAATTCATGGTGTTGAAGCGCCTACCATTTCTAAGCAATCCACTCTGTAGGCTGACACCATTTTTTGTAACTCTGTAAAATACATTGAATTTGAAGATGTTTTCATGTGTTTAAAGTGTTGATGTATTTTTGTCCTTTTACATTTTTTTTGTTTCTATTTGCAAGGTGGATGTTAATTAAACATTTGAATAACTGTTCTTCCTTCTTCAAGGTGTGATTATTGGCTGCTCCGTTTAAACTTTTGACTGGAAAATTACGTATTACTCTTGTAAAAGCTGTTAGCTATTTGAGAGAATTTTTTCTTGTGTTTCCAAGTGCTAGACTACTATGGCTGGCTTTTTCAGGACAATTTATTTAAATTTTATTTGGAAAATAGTGACTACATTGCAAATGACTTGGATACTATACCTGGAATTACTTTTAAATTTTCTGAGGTCATTTTATCAGCAGTAATAACCGGTAGAGGGTGCTGCAGTAGTACTTCATGATTATTATCTAGCTTGGGTTTTTCATGTATTTTTTTTTTTTTCCAGCATGTTTCCAAGCCAAAAAGAAAAAAAAAAAAAAAAGATAATGAAGACTTGAGTAAATTTTTGGTAGAGTTTATATTGGTCTTTTTGAATAAAATACCAGATGAAACAAAGCCATGAATTTGCAGTAAAAAAAAAAAAGGGGGGGGCGTTAAGAAGAAATTAAGCAGTTCCAGTTTTGTATTTAATTTACATTTGTACTTGATTTTTGGAGTTAAAGTTCATAGTGTGTCGTCTATAGGACTTGATATATTACTGTTAAAATCTTCATAGATATAACGTTTACTTAAAAAAAAAAAATTTTGCTACCCAAACTTTGATGAGAATTTGGTTATATGAACTTCAAACGCAATGCTTATTAGAGCCATTGCTCAATCATAAAGTGGGATATATAATATTGGCAAACTCTTATTTCCTTCAGCAATCCATTTTTCTCAGTACAAAGTTGAGATTAGATTTCAAATTATGTCTGTACTGCTTTTAAGGACGGGGGGTGGGAAAGGAAAGGGAGAAGAAATTAATTACTTTTCAATAATATTTTCTGGAGGGAAAAAAAATATCCATCTACAGGTAATGACTTACTTCATATATGGTAATAAAATACTAACTGAAAGAATGAGCTATCATGTTTTCATACCATTGGAATGGTTTTAATACCATTGGAATGATGTTTTGACCTTGGCTTTCTCTAATGATTAATGTATGGATATCAATAATAGCCATTGTTTTACTGCATTTAATTTAAAGCACCTCTTCTTATAAATTTAGACATCATCCATGAGCACCTAAAATTACCCAGCCATGTGTGAATCCCAAGTGAATTTCAACTATTTTGAAGGTCTAGTATGTTACAGGAAAAGAATCGTTTATTGTCCTTCAATATTGCTGACTTAGGGCTGATACCTTTATGTATATGTAAATGGAAAAGCCTTTCTTCTCTTATGATCTGTTTTGTCATCTTACGTGCATATTAAATTTTTAGTAGTCTAGTAAAAGGTTAAAAAATGCAAATGCAAGTTACTGTGCATTATTAGTAATATTCTGCTTTCATGTTCCCAACCCTAGTTTTCATGGGAAACACTCCAAAATGTGGACAGATGATAGAAACGCTCGTGGTAAACACATTTATTTAAGCATACATCAGCACTTTGAGAAGAGTCCAAAAGTAAAATGAGTGATCAGTTTGGCAATTTAGAAGAATAGGAAAGGGTAATCTAGTGCTAAAGTAAGTGTTTGCCGAGCTCAGGAACAGAAGGGAAATCTTGGTATCGAATCAACTTTTGTTGCAGTTCTCTCTCTCCAAGTCCAGGGCAGCTGTGAGTTGCAAACCAGGTTCTCTAAAGGGCATCATTGTTTCAGATACTTGAAATTGTTTAATGTTTCTAAAACTGAACTCTGCACAGTGTAATCTCGCCTTGCAATTCTAGTGCTACTTCACCTGCAGCAGTAGAAGCTACTGACACCAACATTTTAATCACAGAATCATAGGATATCCGAAGTTGGAAAGGGACCCATGAAAATCCTCGAGTCCAGCTTCTGGGTCTGCACAGGACCACTCCAAAATCAGACCATGTGTCTGAGAGCGTCGTCTAACACTTCTTGAACAAGGGCAGGCTCGGTGCTGTGACCACTGCTGTGGGGAGCCTGTCCCAGTGCCCGACCACCCTCTGGGTGAAGAACCTTTTCCTCCCCTAACGCAGTTTCAGGGTGTTCTCTCCTTGATATCACCTTATTTCTACAAACTATAGGAAAAAGACTTACGAGTGCAAAAAGGATTTCTAAATAGGCTATTTATACCAGACATGCCACCCTGAAGACACAGCAGGTAAATTCAAATCAATGATTAGATACGGAATATTAAGTTAAATTTAACAGCTTCAAAGTTTGAACACAAGCTCATCTGCCTTAACTCTGGTGGCTTGTACTGGTGAAGTTTTAAAAGCCACCACGACTGGGTTCCAGTCAGTGAAGGGACCGTAAGAATTTCCTTGGGTATGACATTCTGAAGTGGTCCTTGTATTTCGTTCCTCCTTGAATCTTCGTGGTCTTGCCCATGTGAGGGAGGACAATTAATAAGGTTTAGCTGTGCCCTATGATGTGCGTTGCCATACAGCCTCATGGGTACTTTACATGGCGACAAGAGCTTTTTGCCTTCATTTTCTTTAAGTAGACAGGACATGGAGCACTTAAAAGGATAGCAGCATGTACAAAGGGAAGCCTCTGGCCAGCGTCCTTCCCAGCTTTGTGCTGTAAGATTCCCCTTGGGGTTAACGGGCCTTTTTTAAGCTGGCTGTGTAGATACCGAGCTAGTACTAAATATTTGAGAATATCTCTTTAATATCTCATGTTCTTTATCTTTGCATGATTTTATCTGTATGACGCACCAGCTAGCTTGCCAGCACTAAAAGGGATTTAATAAACATTTTAATGAAAAGCACAAAAACTCTGCAGATATTTCTAACAAGCCTGGCCTGAAGCTATTTTGATCGTGGTGCTTTGCCTGTTGTCAGAACGAATTCTTGCCAGTGTCTGTAATAACGTGGCACTGCTACATTTTATCCTAATGTTTGGTACAAATAAGCAAAGATTGGAGCTGAAGGAATTCCTACAGACCTTGCTCAGCTGCAGGACTGAACAGCAGCAGTGACATTTGGGGTTTCCTGCTCAGCATTACCCTTGCTTGTGGCATTGAAGTCCAGCAGGGAGAGGCTCAGAGCGAGGATTAAGTCATCAATAAAACTTCTGCTGCCTTTGGTATTTTAGCAGGTGCTTTGATGTGCGGGTGACCCTTCACCATTCAGCTGTGTTTGTTTTTTATAGGCGGAGGTTGCTTTGGCTGATTTTTAGTGGAGATGTGTTCACCCCTAGAGGGTTCTCCTAACCCAGCAACCTTCTCCTTCACAACAGCTCGATTTCACCGAGCAGCCTCCCCTCATTACGCTGACTTTAAAATAAAGCTAATAATAATTATGATAATTAAAAAAAAAAAAAAAAAAGACTTTTGTGGTTTAGAACCCCCACACCCAACAAGCAGGCGCGGCCCCTTTAAGGGAAGCTCCCGCCAAATCCTGCCGCTGAGGCGCTGGGCTGAAGAGGGGGGGAGGTCACGTGACGCGGAGGGGAGGGGCGGTTGCCGTGACCTCATCACGTGACGCGGTGGCGGGCTCTTCCAAAGCGGCGGCGGCCGCGGGCGGTGACGGGAGGGGGCCGCGGTCCGTTGGGGTCCGTTGGCCTTCAGCGGCCGCCTCCTCCTCCTCCTCCTCCTCCTCCTCCTCCTCCTCCTCCTCCTCCTCCTCAGCCGCCCCCGGTTGGTTTCTGAGGGGAAAAACCCGTGAAAAGTGACGGGGCCGGGGAGGGAAGGCACCGCCGCGGGCTGCTCCCGGCCCCCCCCCCCGTCAGCGCCCTGACGCCTCGCCTGGGCCTCTCGCCTCACGCAGCCGCCCCGCGGGCCCCATGGCCGTGCAGATGCAGTTCGAGGCCAACGCGGATGTGTCTGCGGAGGAGGAGAGCTTCGGGCCGGAGCCCATCGCCAGGTTAGAGGTACGCGCACAGCTGGCCCGAGGCTGGGTTCGCAAGAAGCTTCCAGGGCTGTGCCCTCCAACGCAAGCTGGACCCGAAATCTGGGCTGTCAGGGTCTTACCTGCGTTTTGCCACCCCCAAAAATATTCTGTTACCTTGCTGCGTGTCCTTTTTGGAATATTCATGAGTTACCTGTAGTATCAAACCACCTGGAGAACGTCCTCGCCTTGTTCTGTGCTGCCAAGGTTGATAACAGGTTGTCACAGAATCATAGAGCAGTAGGGACTGGGAGGGATCTTGGAAGGTCACCTGGTCCACTCCCCCTGCCAAGCAGGAACACCTAAATCAGCTCACACAGGAACGCATCCAGGTGGGTTTTGAATATCCCCAGAGAAGGTGACTCCACTTCCCCTGGGCAGCCTGTTCCATTGCTCTGTCACCCTCACCATGAAAAAGTTAAACGTTACACTAGTAAAATAACATATTTTTTTAACATTCTTTGTATATAAGTGACAGGGACATAACATTTTAACATGCTGACTTGTAATAACAGAGTTTGATCCAAATTGAAAGACAGTTCAGGTACTCAATAATGGTGTTTCTGACATAGCCTATCTTTTTTCCCCCCTCCCTTTCAGCAATGCGGCATAAATGCAAACGACGTGAAAAAGTTGGAAGAAGCTGGGTATCACACAGTTGAGTCTGTTGCTCACGCGCCCAAGAAGGAGCTGCTAAATATTAAAGGCATCAGCGAAGCTAAAGCTGACAAAATCTTGGTAAGGATGTTGTATAAAATTGTCAAGCCAAGAAGCTAGAGAGGTTTTGTTTCTGCTGGTGTAAAGTATTTTGGTGATTCTTACAAGGTCTCCATGACTGACGTACCTAGAAGGGTAGTAAAGATGATTAGAGGGATGCCGTGGCTTTTTATAAGAGACGAGAGGACTAGGACTAGCTTCAAGAGAAATGAAGGGGGAGGTAGCTCTATAAAATTTGTGGAAGGTATGGAGACTATATCCAAGATTAGTACTATTTCAAGCTTAGAATTTCGTATGATAAGAAGGCTTCTGATAGGCCTGAGGCAACTAAAATATTTATTTATTTATTTTTCCATACAGGATATAATTAAGTTATGGAACTCATTGCCCCAA